AGGTCATGACGGACATGGATATTGTCGCACATACGGGAGAACTGTGCCTCGGAGAGTGGTGTATAAAGATGGTATTGGGCCATCACAGTCAACACCCTAACCATCGACTATTGTTCAGATCACCCAGCAGATTTGTGCGGAGCTAAGGGATGCGTTGAGAGAGGAGCTGCGAGTAGAGTTCTCTACACATTTACAGCAGATGAGAGCTGAGATGATGGCCTTTGTGTCACAGGGGGCGAGTGTGGATCCCAACAGACAGGTTCGATATAAATTAAATTGTTTAATACTTCAATTTTCATACAACATTATGTATAAAATTCGAATATGATTAACACGTTATGCATTGACTATCATAGGTTCCTGATGCATCGAGTGGCCACCAGGCATTTAGGGAATCTACAGAAGACGAGAATCCATATACACCACCGCCAGAAGATCAGGTATAAAATGTATCTTTGCATTCTAAGCTAAAATGTATCTTTGCATTCTTTACATTCTAAGTTAAGAGACTTGTGGGAGAAGATGGGACTCAAATCGGGTTCTCGGATTGGGAGTTAGAGCCAGATATAACACGAAACTTGGCACACATGACCGCCTAGGCACGAGAGACTTGTGGGAGAAGACGGGGCTCGAATCGGGTTCCCGATTTGGGAGTTAGAGTCAGATATCACTCTAGGCAAACTACTCCTTAAAAAACTTGAATTCGAGGTGTTAACGCCCCAAAATCCCCAAATGACGTCGGTTTAGCACGAAACTTGTTACACAGGACCGCCTAGGCATGAGAGAATTATGGGAGAAGACGAGGCTCGAATTGGGTTCCCGGTTTGGGAGTTAGAGTGGGATTTCGGTCTAGGCAAACTAGTTCCTTAAGAAACTTGAATTCGAGGTGTTGACGCCCCAAAATCACCAAACGGCGTCAGTTTAGCATGCAACTTGGCACACACGACGACCTAGGCACGAGAGAGTTGTGGGAGAAGATGAGACTCGAATCGGGTTCCCATATTGGGAGTTAGAGTCGGATTTCACTTTAGGCAAACTAGTTCCTTAAGAAACTTGAATTCGAGGTGTTAACGTCCTGAAATCACCAAACGACGTCGGTTTAGCACGAAACTTGGCACACATGACCGCCTAAGCACGAGAGACTTGTGGGAGAAAACGGGACTTGAATCGGGTTTCCGATTTGGGAGTTAGAGTCGGATTTCGGTCTAGGCAAACTAGTTCCTTAAGAAACTTGAATTCGAGGTGTTTACACCCCAAAATCACCAAACGACGTTGGTTTAGCACAAAACTTGGCACACATGACGACCTAGGCACGAGAGAGTTATGGGAGAAGATGGGACTCGAATCGGGGTCCCGGATTGGGAGTTAGAGTCGGATTTCACTTTAGGCAAATTAGTTTTCCTTAAAAAACTTGAATTCGAGGTATTAACGCCCCAAAATCACCAAACGACGTCGGTTTTGCGCGAAACTTGGCACATATGACTACCTAGGCATGAGAGACTTATGAGAGAGGACGGGGCTCGAATCGGGTTCCCAGTTTGGGAGTTAGAGTCAGATTTCGGTCTAGGCAAACTAGTTCCTTAAGAAACTTGAATTTGAGGTGTTGATGCCCCCACATCACCAAACGGCGTCGGCTTAGCACGAAACTTGGTACACACGACGACCTAGGCACGAAAGAGTTATGAGAGAAGACCGGACTCGAATCGGGTTCCCGGATTGGGAGGTAGAGCTGGATTTCACTTTAGGCAAACTAGTTCCTTAAGAAACTTAATTCGAGGTGTTAACGCCCCAAAATCACTAAACGACGTCGGTTTAGCACGAAACTTGGCACGCATGACCGCCTAGGCACGAGAGACTTGTGGGAGAAAACGGGGCTCAAATCGGGTTCTCGATTTAGGAGTTAGAGTCAGATTCCGGTCTAGGCAAACTAGTTCCTTAAGAAACTTGAATTCGAGGTGTTGACGCCCCAAAATACCAAACGGTGTCGGTTTAGCACGAAACTTGGCACACACGACGGCCTAGGCACGAGAGAGTTGTAGGAGAAGACGATACTCGAATCGGGTTCCCGGATTGGGAGTTAGAGTCGGATTTTATTTTAGGCAAACTAGTTCCTTAAGAAATTTGAATTCGAGGTGTTAACGCCCCAAAATCACCAAACGATGTCAGTTTAGCACGAAACTTGGCACATATGACCGCCTAGGCACAAGAGACTAGCAGGAGAAGATGAGGCTCGAATCGGGTTCTCGGTTTGGGAGTTAGAGTCGGATTTCGATCTAGGCAAACTAGTTCCTTAAGAAACTTGAATTCGAGGTGTTGACGCCCCAAAATCACCAAACGGTGTCGGTTTAGCACGAAACTTGGCACACACGACCACTTAGGCATGAGAGACTCGTGGGAGAAGACGAGGCTCCAATCGGGTTCCCGATTTAGGAGTTAGAGCCAGATTTCGGTTTAGGCAAACTAGTTCTTTAAGAAACTTAAATTTGAGGTGTTGACGCCCCAAAATCACCAAACGGCGTCGGTTTAGCACGAAACACATGATGGCCTAGGCACGAGAGAGTTGTGGGAGAAGACGAGACTCGAATCGGTTTCCCGGATTGGGAGTTAGAGCCGAATTTCATTTTATGGAAACTAGTTCCTTAAGAAACTTGAATTTGAGGTGTTAACGCCCCAAAATCACCAAACGACGTCGGTTTAGCACGAAACTTAGCACACACGACCGCCTAGGCACGAAAGACTTGTAAGAGAAGATGGGACTCCAATTAGGTTCCCGGTTTGGGAGTTAGAGCCAGATTTCGGTCTAGGCAAACTAGTTCCTTAAAAAATTTGAATTTGAGGTGTTGACCCCCCAAAATCACCAAACGATGTCAGTTTAGCACGAAACTTGGCATATGCGACCGCCTAGGCACGAGAGACTTGTGGGAGAAGACGGGACTCCAATCGGGTTTTCGGTTTGGGAGTTAAGGCCGGATTTCTGTCTAGCCAAAATTATTTACTAAACTATTTTTGTAATTATATAGTAGTTAATTTTTTATGTTTTTCTGTAATTAAAATATTAACACAATTATATTGTCATTAATTATTTTTTATTTTTTTATTTTCAGATATTTCCTGCGTAGCAGTTTGCTTTTTGTGGAATGCAGGCGTGTAAAGATTATGACCAACTTTTATTTTTGTAACCCACGGAAGAATCATGACGAAAACTTTTGTTTTTGATTTACCTTATTTAGATTTGTGAACAATATATATGTATGTATTATGACACATTATGTAGTGGGATAATTTTTATTGTTATGAATTTTTATTTATGTATTGTTATGAATGGAACAATATTATGAATTTTCATTATGTGCCAACTTTTGTTTATGTATGTATTTATATTATTATGTAATTATCGATTTTTTTTTAGTTATTTTTCATTTAATACAGGTTATTTTCATATTTTTAATAATTTTATTACAATTTTTTTTTTTTGGTTTGAGACGACACCACACACATTGTCTCAAAAAGAAAATAGAACCAGGGTTTTTTGCGACAGCAGTAATGTCGTCGCAAAAGATAAGGGAATTGGTTAAAAAGGAAGACCTTTAGCGACGGTTTTATTGCCGTCGCCAATAGTTCTTTAGCGACGGCATCAGGTGCTGTCTGAAATGACTCTTTAGCGACGGTAATTTTCCCATCGCAAATAACCCTTTTAGCGATGGCAACACAGTGCTGTCTAAAAAAAACTCAGATTTTCACGCGTTAATGGCGATAGAATTCTTCCGTCGCAAAAAAAAGGTGACAGCGTTATGCCGTTGCTAAAATCCTTTTGCAACCCCCTTTGTTGCGACCCTCCACTTGCCGTCGCAAAAAGCCAGTTACCGTCGCAAAAAACCTTTTGAGACGACATTTCAGGTATTTGCGACGCAAAAAATCAATTTTTTTGTAGTGCACTAATCGTACCTCCTAAGAAACGAGTCATACTCACCTGTGTGGAAGGGAAACACCTTTCCACTAAACCCCTCCCTCCCCTCCCGCGTGGTGGTTCTAATGCATATGAGTTTAACACATCATAAAACACTCATGCTATATGTGTTCAATTTAAATAAGAAATGAATAATCTTTAGCCCTTACTCTTCTATTTTTATTTTTTTTATATGAATGCTACATAAGAATAATTTTTCGTGTAATCAGAAAAAACATAATCAACTTTGGTTTTGAAACTCAAGATTTACTTTCTAGAAAATTATTATTATTGTTTTTCATAATTTTATGCTTTTACTAAAATTTTAAAATATTTTAAGTTTTTTTTTGTTTTTAATTTTTTTTTAGATGCATATAACATAAATACACTTAAAAAATTTAATATTTGTAAAAAAATATTAAAAAAATGCAAAAAATATCAAAAAATAAAAATTCAATACATTTTTTTTTGTATTCTTGTGTATTTATTGATTTTTTGAAACATATTTTTTTCATAATTTTTTTACTTTTTAGATATATTTAAATAAGGTACATCTAAGAAAATAAAAAAATTACTTAAATTTTTTAAAATATTCACTAAAAATAAAAAATAAAAAAAATAAAAATTTTAATTTAAAAAATTGAAACCAAATATATTGAGGTATGGGGTGTTAAATTCAAATCTCTCACAATATTGACATTCTTGTTTTTTTTAACAAATTAGTTGTAGTAGTAAAACATAAAAAATAAAACGATTATGTTACGTAACTCAAAATTTTTGAATTCGAATTCGGCTTGAAATTAAAACGACGTCGTTTTGGAACGGTAATTTCATTTTATGAGAGGGATAATAAAAATTATCTTACCGGTAAAAGAATTTTCATATATCTTACCAGTAAGAGAATCTAAAACGACGTCGTTTTGAGTTTCGATCTAATTATTTTCGAGCTACTAAACATTTTCCAAAATCAAATGCCCTATCCTCAAAGTAATCCAAAGAATTAAAAAAAAAGGGCCAAACGGGGCCTTGGCGATGGTATATCCAATGATTCCGTGGAACCCCATGTATGACTAGATCTCGACCACTGATCATTCCGATCTCGCATCCCCATTGAAGGTTCAATCGAACTATTGAACCTTTCGAGGCAGAGAGCTTCATCTGAGAGAGAAGCTTTGATCGCCGCCCTTCTCTCTTTACTCTTTGCTTCCTCTTGCATAATTGTCTTCAGATAGTCGCCGCTCCCCGATCACTCAACATTCTGGTGAGTTTGGTCTCTCTTGCATTTGATTGATACTCTGAATTTGATCTCTGATATGTCTATGTGCCTTTTAATCCATGTGTTGTTTTCTAATATTACTGCGATTTTCTTTGGTATTTCGATTTGATTTTTTTTTTAATATAATTTTATTTTTTGGCTGTTTGATGATTTAAGCAGCAGCCCTGAAGTCAGAGGAAAATATGAGTTTTGATTTGCTATTAAATTGCAGATTTGAAAATCGGGTTCATCATTTCTGGTGGAATTACATTGTAAAAATCATATTTTTGATGTCTCTGATCTGTTTCTCTCAGGGTAGCATTCTATGTATACCTCCAATATTTAATGTGTGTCTGTGTGCATGTAAACTGCATCGATTACATGTATAAATATACTATGCTCTATTTTTACTGAAATTTGATGCATTGAAGTACCCTACAAACCAGATAAAAAGGAGTAGCAACTGGGGACAGAGGGTTAAAATGTTGTAAAAAAAAAAATGCTGCACAGTAGAATAGTTTATGTTGGAAATTGGGTTCGCACGAACTACTCCGGGGAACTTGATTTTTAACCCGATGGGACAAAATTCCAGATTTTGGCCACTTCTTTTGGGATTGACATTTTACTCCATTTTTATTGGTCCATGGGTATTTTGGATAATTTTGGTTTAATATTATCTCTATAATACCTGGTCCAAAAATTAGTTTATTTACCACCAAACAATTAAACGAAGTAGACATATCTATCTTTATATATATATAAATAAAGCCAACCTTAGGGTTGGTGTAGCATGTTGTTCTGGTATGGTTTGAACTCTACATGCTTTATGTTTTGAAATGCAAAAGTAGGAGAGAATGCTTATACTTTTATGTACATATATTTAAAAAAATAGATGCCAACTAGGGCTCTGCGGGCGATGAGCGGGGACAAGGCTCCAGGTCCGGATGGCTTTACTATGGCTTTCTTTCAACATTGTTGGAGTGTGGTTAAGGCGGATGTGATGGCGGCATTGAAGGCTTTTTTTGTGTCTGGGCAGTTTGAGTGAAACTTTAATGCGACTTTTTTGGCTTTGATTCCTAAGAAAGGGGGGGCGAGGACGTTCGAGACTTTACGCCAATTAGTTTGCTTGGGAGTGTATATAAACTGTTGGCTAAGGTGTTGGCAAATAGACTTTGAGGGGTTTTGAAGGCAGTAGTGTCTGAGTCACAAAACGCTTTTGTTGGGGAGGGGTCGACAGATTTTAGATGCAGCCTTCGTGGTTAATGAGTGTGTGGATTCTTGGATTAGGCAAGGGTGACCAGGTGTGATTTGCAAGCTGGACATAGAGAAGGCCTACGACAAAGCTTGGTGGGAGTTTCTATTGTATGTTTTGGATCGTATGGGTATTGGGGAGACTTGGTGTCCGTGGATTCAGTTCAGTATCTCTACTGTGAGGATGTCGGCTTTGGTTAATGGTACTCTAGTGGAGTTCTTTTTGACACATTGAGGTCTTCGTCAGGGAGATCCTTTGTCGCCATTATTGTTCATTTTAGTGATGGAGGCACTGAGTAGATTGCTAGATAGAGCAATTCATGAAGGTTTGCTGGAGGGTTTTGTAGTGGGTTCTCTCATGGGAGCATCTATGTGTGTTTTCTATCTGTTGTATGCAGATGATGTTCTAATCTTTTGTGAGGCGGTGGCAGATCAGTTGGGATACTTGAGATGTGTTTTGCTGTGTTTTGAGGCAGTTTTGGGCCTTTGGGTGAATTTGAGGAAGTCCAAGTTGATTTCGGTGGATAAGGTGGAGGGATTGCTAGTGCTAGTGGCTATGTTGGGTTGTAGGGTGTCGGCTTTGTCGGTGACTTATTTGGGTTTGCCGTTGAGAGCGACGTTTAAGGCTAAAGGGATATGGAAAGGGGTTGTGGAGTAGATTCAATGTCGGTTAGCAGGTTGGAAGAGGCAATATCTTTCGAAAGGGGGAAGGTTGACTCTAGTCAAGAGTTTGTTGAGCAGCATCCCGACATACTTTATGTCTTTGCATGTTATTTCGGTGTTTGTGGTGCGGCGGATTGAGAAGTTACAAAGGAATTTCTTGTGGGGCCGTGGGGGGATGATTTTCGTTATTATTGTTGAGCAGCATCCCGACATACTTTATGTCTTTGCATGTTATTTCGGTGTTTGTGGTGCGGCGGATTGAGAAGTTACAAAGGAATTTCTTGTGGGGCCGTGGGGGGGATGATTTTCGTTATTATTTGGTGGATTGGGGGTAGATTTGTCAACCGAAAGTGGCAGGGGGGCTGGGGGTGAGGAGTTTGGTGACTTTTAACAGAGCTTTGTTGGGAAAATGGCTGTGGCACTTTGCTTGGGAGCTAGAGCGGTTATGGAGAAAGGTGGTGGTTGTTAAGTGTGGGGTAGCTTGGGGGAATGGAGGTTTGGGGTTGTGACTGGTTCTCATGGTTGTGGGTTATGGAAAGGGATTTGGTTGGGGAGAAAGGAGTTTTGGGATAGGGTGGGTTGAGGGTGGGTGATGGGTTGAGGGTGCGTTTCTCGAAGGATAGGTGATGTGGTGTTTCTTTGCTGGAGGATCGCTTTCCTTTGATTTTCAGTATTGTGGTGGATCTGGAAGATGCGGTGGCATCTTATTTGAGGGGTGGGGATGGGGTGGTTTGAGATATTTAGTTACGGTGACAAGTTTAAGAGTGGGAGGTTGATCAGTTAGTGGAGTTATAGGGTTACTTGTATGGGTTGGGTGTGACTGGGGTAGGGGAGGATGTATTGGTGTGGAATGTTGTGGGGGCTAAGGGGTGTTTTTCGGTCTCGTCGTTCTATTAGAGTATGGTGTAGGAGGTGAGACGAGATTTTTCTTGGAGGAGTATTTGGGTGCCAGGGATTCCGTCTAAGGTGGCTTTCTTTATGTGGACGGCGGCCTTGGGTCGGAATCTTATGATTGATAATTTGATGTGGTGTGGTCATATTCTAGTAAATTGGTGTTGTATGTGTTGTGAAAATGCGGAGTCTGTGGATCATTTGCTCTTGCATTGTTCGGTGGCGTTTCGTTTGTGGGGCTTTGTTTGCTCTTTTTTTGGGATTGTTTGGGCTCAGCCACGGAGGGTGTTGGATATGTTGTGGAGTTGGCGTGAGGCTCGGGTTGGTCGTCAACGGTGGTGCGTGTGGTCTTTGGTCCCATTTTGTTTGATGTGGTTAGTGTGGTTAGAGCGTAATAGGCATACAATTCAAGAGGCTCATCGTTCAGTTAGTTGGCTTGAGAGTCGTTGACTTGTAGTTTTGTATAGTGGGTTAGAAAGGAAAATTGATCCAGATATGTTTGGCTTTTTAAAGTTTTTGGATGAGGTTATTGGTTAGAGGGTGATTTTTGTCTCCATTGGAGTTTTGTATTTATTGCATCATCTTGATGCTTTTTTAATAAAGTTTGCTTATTTATTTATCAAAAAAAATATATTAAAAAAAATAGATAACAACATAGAAGAAGTGGGAGCAACTGAATTGGAGCGAGTATAATGGAGTAAGGTACATGTGCATTGCACATCTGTGCTCTGGTTGGGAGTTGTTTAGGGGTATTAATCCCATTCTTGATCAGTTCATTGATTTTGTAAAGCTTTTTGATACATGTGGGAAGTGTGAAGGTTGGATTTTCTTTTGTTTTCTCTCTTGTATTATATAGGTGGCATTCCGTTAATGCCAATTTTTTGGATGAAATTTTATTCTACTTATCCAAAAATAAAAATATAAGATCACATACATCTACTTTTTCCGCATAGATTTTTCTTTCATCTTTATCTTTTCCCTTTTATGTGGACTATCATATTATTTTCATGCTCTATGCTTTTTTAAAATCCAAGAATTGTCTAAGCTATACAAGCCATCTTCATGTCTCTGTGTTCAGTTTCTTGTGTTTAGGAGCTATGGGATAGGCTGGGTAACAGAAAATTTAATGACCTTCGTTTGTTTTCACTTTGACCTAGCATGAGAGTTTTTGTCTTGAGCAAGTGCTTGTTGATTTTGGTAATGTATCAATTTAACCATTTTATACTTGAACTTACTCTTTGCTTTTTTTGCACTTTAAATCAGACGATTGGTTGAAGCATGAACCTCAGTCTCTTATGAACTACTTAATCAATTTATTAAGAGAGCATGGAATCACCTGGTGAGTCCCTTGAAAATTGTATGCTATTCTTTTCCCATTTTCCTCCTTTTCTGTGCACCCTCCGCAGGTTGCAATGAGAAGAGCAAGAATATAAGGAAGGTGCAAAATTTGTTTATATGATGAGAATTTGCATTTTGAGAATTTTAATCTTATTTTGTTATTTGTTTAAGTCATACTATTTGTGCGTGGGTGTTGAGGGAGGTTACATTCTCTTGCCAGATATATTTGTATTATTGTAGTATAAGGAAAAACAAATAATGATTTATGTTAACCTCAAGTTAATACAACTTCTAAATCTCTCTATTACATTCTGAACACCTATTGATTGGTCATGATCATTTAAACTTAATGCAAAAGTTCAAATTAATCTTGAGAGGAGGGAGGGATCTCTGATAATTGGGAACACTGTGTTAGATTTAGTTTGTGCATAATTCTTGCAAAGTTGATTTTTTTTGGGTAATAAGTTCTGGATTTCTTAATCATATGGTTGAGAACTCTCATTACGGAGTGAGTTTGGTTAATAGAGAATTTGTATGTAATTCAATCTGACAATCCAGCATGCTGGGCATTTTAACATGATGAGATGGAATGGAATATATTTCTAAACTTTGTAGTAGAATCATATTTCAGTGACATGCTTGTCTTTCATTAAACTTTGAGTAAGTTCTAGGTTAGCTTGTGTATTGAAAAAAATATTGTCGGCAATATTACTTTTATGGTCATTAATATTTAAGACGTTGGAACTGATCATGAATGTTGCTTTTAGTTACACACGTGGGATCTTCCTACGACATCGACATGTCCTTATGTGGTTGTCTTATCGTTGATTCCTTGCATCATTTTTAATCCCTGAAGTTCCTCATCCATGGGGGATACGTATCCCAAAAAAAAAATGAAAAAAAAAAAAAATCTGCCATGGGCATGCTCGCTAAGATTAAAATGCAGGAAGTATGAGTGTCTGTGCTACTTGATTTGTCTATAATTGTTTAAAAAATGTGGCCCTTTTTGGTTTCTTAGCTCTTTTGTTAGAAGAATCAGCAGTAAATGTTAGTCTGAGAGTTAGATTTTGTTGCAGCATTAACTCTATAATCCAGAGTACTTAATTAATCATTGATGTTGTACTGTTTTTCATTTTTCTGTTCACACATGTTATTTGGTTTTGTTACAGCCACTCGTTTCCGGGACACATCTGTTGTTGTGGTTACACTGGATTCTAGTGAAGTATATATTATTGTCAGCCTGTCTTCTAGGAGCGACACTCAGATGATTTATGTTGACCCAACAACTGGAGCACTTTGCTATAATGGGAAACTGGGTTATGATGTTTTCAGCTCTCAAAATGAAGCTTTAGATTACGTTACAAATGGATCAAAGAGTCTTTGCAGGAGTATAATTTATGCCAGGGCAATATTGGGTTATGCAGCGCTGGGGAGTTTTGGGTTGCTTCTTGTTGCAACAAGGTTGACGTCCAGCATTCCAAATTTGCCTGGTGGGGGGTGTGTATATACAGTGACTGAGAGCCAATGGGTCAAAATTTCACTTCAAAATCCTCAACCCCAGGGCAAAGGAGAAATAAAGAATGTTCAAGAATTGGCGGAGCTTGATATTGATGGCAAGCATTACTTTTGTGAAACAAGGGACATAACTCGGCCTTTTCCGAGCCGGATGCCTTTGCACCAGCCTGATCATGAATTTGTTTGGAATGGATGGTTTTCAATGCCTTTCAAAAATATTGGTCTGCCACAGCATTGTGTCATTCTTCTGCAGGTGTGGGTTTATTCTTTCCATCCTCAAATATTGTTACGTATTGTTTGATAGTGATGCTCTTTCGCCAATATCATTCTAAATGTTGGGCTGCTGTCTTTGCCTTCTTTACAAATGGTTGCTAAGTGTTTTGGTCATTGCGTTATATTAATTAGGGCAAATTTCATTTTACCCTCCTAACGTTTGACGTTTGGAAATGACCACATAACCCCCACGTGATTTGTGGATTAAAACGCACGCTAACTTCTATTAACAGAATATGTAAATTGACCATTATACCCTCATCTTCTTCCTCTTCTCTCTTTGAATTAAACCTGCAAAAATACATATATATATACACACACCCCAACCGAAATGAAGGAGACGAAGTCACACCAAACAAGAAATCGAAGAAGAAGAAGAGAAATGAGGATTTGGAATTTGTTTTCTCATCCGACATTTTTTCAGAAACAAAACAGGGTAGAGATGTAAATCACAAATTAAGGCCTAGTTTGGCATAATACAAAAAAGTCAAAAAGTCACTATCCTATTTAAGTCACATCATTTCATTTAAATCATATCATCTCTCTACCACATCACTTCAAACCCAACCCATATTTCACGTTTTTTCGTAAAAAGTCAAAAAATGTACTTATTTAGATTATCCCAAACAACCCCAAATGCACTGAAGAACTGAAGAACTCAATTTTTCTAAAAGTTGACCAGTGAGAGAGCGGAAATTCAAGAACTTGAGAAAGCAAAACTCAATTCCAATTCCAAAATCAAGAACCTGAGAAAGTAGGTCTTGGTTGGGTTTTGATGGAAGAAGCCCAGTTTTATTAAGGAGGGTTTGGTTTCCCTGTAATGCATTTTTTTCCAATGACCTCTTTGTTGATTTAGAGCTTATGTTCTCCCATGGCTGCCATTGCCAACTTCCAACCCACAATAGCTATATATATGTATATGTATATATATTATAATTAAATTTAAATTACTTTTATAACAGTAGAGGGAGAAAATGTGGCAGGATGATCAATTAATGGGGATTTTCATGGGAGAGAAATAGTGAGAGAAGGGAAAATGGTAGAGAGAGAAGGAAGAAGAATGGCATCCTTTAATAAATTTTAAGTTGTACAAGGGGTATTTTGGTCTTAAAATATAGCTAACTCTCTTTATGGGCGAGTGAACCTCACAGCCCGTTAATTTGGATGGAAAAGTGGACGGTGCACTTTGGTCCACAAATCACGTGGGGGTTTTGTGGTCTTTTCCAAACGTTAGGGGGGTAAACTGCACATGGCCCAAACTATAAGGGGTAAAGTGAAGTTTGCCCTATTAATTATTAATCCTGCACATGGCCCACTAATTGTTTTTAGTTATTGATTTGAATGTGCGTACTGCTTTATAACCAAACCAAACCAAACCAAGAAATATGTTCATACGTGATTGTTATGTTGCTATTGAGTACCAAGAAATTTTCATATTAGGGGGGTGGTATATGTTCAACATGTTAAGGTAATGGGATGGCTTTATGCAAGACACATATAATTGCTTTATGACTACCTGTGAGTAAATTGGTACAATCCTGGAATAATTTATGTATCCATGGCCCATGTAAACTTTGGCTTCTTTGGTCGATTGTTTCTCTGAGATTTTGAATGTTCCATCCATGGAGGACTTGTGGATGGAGCCATTCTTTATATTTTTGCAATCCAGTTGCTGGCCTTGCACAAGTCACTGTCATTTTCTTTGAGATGAATTTTGTAGGTTAATGCACGTTTTGTGGTTGCTTGAATATTAACTTCTTGTTCATATAAGAGAGAATGTGTTCTAACACTTTTTGGGTAATTATGTGTTCTAACACTTGTTTCAATATTACTCACTAATTGCACTTGATCTGGATCTGATCTCTTTTGCTGAACCTGAATCATATTTTTATGCTCTAGAAATGTATTTTGAGAAATGATTTCCTCACAGGAATTATTCATAGTTGCATTTATTCTTTTCCAAGGTGGTTGATTTTTTTGACTTTTCGTCTTGTTGTCCTCGCTTTTACTCCTTACAATTTGCCTTATATAACATCTATTGTTTTTTAAATTTACAATTTGATGATCCACTAACCGTACAACGGTGGAGTGTTATATTAAATACATATCAAGTCATGATGTTCACTTACATGATGTCTACTTATAGGGGTTCGCAGAATGTCGAAGCTTTGGAAGCTTCGGTCAGCAAGAAGGCATAGTTGCTCTCACTGCTCGTAGGAGCAGGCTGCATCCTGGTACTCGATACTTGGCAAGGGGCTTAAATTCATGTTCCAGTACAGGTAACATTACTATTTAATATACGTGAAGGTCATATTGCTAGGGCAGCTCTAGCTTGTAGCAGGTAAATTTTTTTGGTAAAAAGACAAAACTACCCTCAAGAGTTAATATTCTCTCGTGTCATCTAAAGAGTACCTTTTACTCTCCCAATTTTTCCCCGGCAATAGGGCCACCCATTTTTTAAATTGTCTAGTGCTACTTTGAAGGAATATTTGCACAAATAGGTCATCTTCCAGCATGTTCTATCTTTTAAATGGTCATTTCTTATAGTTTGAACTTTCTGTTTACCTTTCATTGCTATGTACATATGCTTCAGATGATTCTTGATAGCCCACATCTTTCATGTCTGTGTTGTGGTACTGTTACAATCATGCCAGTGTAGGGGAATTGTAGAATCTTACACTGGCCTAGTGAAAATACACTATGTGTCCATTCTATATTTATAGTGATATGTTTATCAACTAGTCCACTTCTACTTGACCTTTGTGATTTAGATTAGTTGGTCACCTTAACTTGATCTGTGTCATTTTAGATGAATGATGCACTGGAAAATACATTTTAGCTTTAATATATTTAAGGTTGTGACTATTTGCTATATAAGATCAAGACACAATGTTGTCAAACGGATTGGGGATGTATTTATATTTTACATACCAATTCATATGCCACGAAAGTACCCTGATTGATTTTCTAATTGCCTTCTCTTGTTGATATTATTTCCTGCCATGAATCGTAGCTGTTTATTTGTTAAATGAATTTCTTGGAGCTTCTGAAGATAGCATTTGACAGGCAATGAAGTTGAGTGTGAGCAACTCGTATGGGTTCCAAAAATGGCTGGTCAAAGTGTTCCTTTCAACACATATATTTGGCGACGAGGCACCATTCCAATCTGGTGGGGGGCAGAATTAAAGATAACTGCAGCAGAAGCAGAAATATATGTTTCAGATTGTGATCCTTATAAAGGAAGTGAACGGTACTATCAGAGATTAAGTAAGAGATATGGTGCACGGGAACTAGATGTAGCTGTTGTTGGCAATCAGAAGAAGAATGCTTTGGTTCCAATTGTGTGCATCAACTTGCTTAGATATGGAGAAGGAAAGTCAGAGTCCATTCTAGTTCAGCATTTTGAGGAATCCATGAACTATATCAAATCAACTGGAAAACTTCCTTTTACTCGAGTTCTTTTGATAAACTATGATTGGCATGCCAGTACAAAATTGAAAGGTGAGCAGCAAACAATTGAAGGACTGTGGAGACTTCTAAAGGCACCCACAGTATCTATAGGAATTTGTGAGGGTGATTATTTGCCCTCTCGTCAGCGAATTAAGGACTGCAGAGGTGAAATCATCTTTAACGATAATTTTGAAGGTGCATTCTGCTTGAGATCACACCAAAGCGGGGTAATACGTTTCAACTGTGCGGATTCTTTGGATAGAACTAATGCTGCTAGTTATTTTGGTTCTCTCCAAGTTTTTGTAGAGCAATGTAGACGGCTAGGGATATCACTTGATAGTGATCTTGCATTTGGTTATCAATCTACTACTAATTGTGGTGGATATATTGCCCCACTGCCACCAGGCTGGGAGAAACGATCTGATGCAGTAACAGGGAAAACATATTATATTGATCACAACACCAGGACCACAACCTGGAATCATCCATGTCCAGACAAACCTTGGAAGAGGTTTGATATGACATTTGAGGAGTTTAAGAGATCAACAATTTTGTCTCCAGTATCTCAACTGGCTGATCTTTTCTTGCTTGCTGGTGATATTCACGCAACATTGTATACTGGTTCTAAAGCTATGCACAGCCAAATTTTAAGCATCTTCAATGAGGAAGCTGGCAAATTTAAACAGTTTTCTGCTGCGCAGAATATGAAAATCACTCTGCAGAGAAGATATAAAAATGCAGTTGTAGATAGCTCTCGTCAAAAACAATTAGAGATGTTTCTTGGATTGAGGCATTTCAAGCATCTTCCATCAGTTCCAGTTCAACCTTTACACGTATGTTATTCTGTCTATTTTCCCAAATTGGCCAAAGGAACCTTACATCTATCCTTTGATGCTTTATTATTGTGCTTCAAGCATCTAACACTTAGACCTAAAATGTATCATTGTATCAGTTACCCTGATCTCCCTTTCTTATATATCATATGGATCTTGAATTGTAAAAAAATAAGTGCTATTGAGTGTTGTCGGGGGATGTTTAGTTCTATTCTTACTCGTTGTACCCAAAAAAGAATAAGAGAAAAATAAAAAACACAGCTTAAGGTATCCTGAAGACAAAGTGGCAACCGATCAACATAGTCAGACGACCCCCAATTAATTAGTTGACTAAAAGAAACTAGATAGAATCATTTTTTTTGGATGGAGTAATGTACCATAATGCTTTATTGCACCACAGCTGTTTTACAGACAAATCTATAAGGACATTCAAGTAACAAGTTGTCACGACCCAAACCCGCCCCTCTGGGTTTAGTATCGTAACCGGCCAGTAATACGTGATTACCAAAAGCCTGCTTAACAGTAAGGACAGTAATACAAAGTAAGGGGCTGGCAGAAGCTAAAACAGTAAATAAAAGATGTCCAATGAGCTGTGAAAATCTGAATGCAAAAAGACTTTATGCACAAGCCACATTGATAAACCAACATATATACATACGTCATATACCCAACATCCGGGTTAGGGATCAAGTCCCTTCAACAAAATTGTACAGTCAAGTCTAAAACATTCAGTACAAACAGAGATAGAAGGGTGAAACTGAGATACCCCAAAAATAGCCTTGGCTTGACAGATTTGGAACCTCGAAGTGAGGCACAGTGGTAGGCTTGACAAAACAAAAGCTAACCCGACGCTCCTAGCTCCGGTCCGATGTCTGGACACCTACATATAAATATAAACAGTGAGCTAAAGCCTAGTGAATAACATATGCGTAAAGGGGTTAAGAACAAATGTCCTTTCAGTAATTAAAACAGTCAATTGTATCAGTAAAATAGTTACTCAATTAGTGGCTCATATTTCATGCCATAACAGTTATTCAGAAACCATAATAGTCATATGTGGTACATCCAATAACAAAACAGTACAATAGATCTTGACAGACCGAACAGTTAGTTGATGGCCATCAAACAGTAAACAGTAGTAGTCCCAACATTAGAACTGACAGAGATCTCTGTAACAGTAGCAGTACCAGTAACAGTAAGTTGTTATGGATGCCACGAATACAGTTTACAAATAGGACAAACATTCATTCAGTAAACGATGCTATTTCAGAAAGCAGCATAATCAATCGTTAAGAAATAGTTATAATTGAACGTATCTTTACAATATTGTGTTACTCATAGAGTACTGGGTTACAGGCATCTAATGAGCGTCCTCGGATGCCAACCCTACAGTTGCAGAACGAACACACACTCGGGATTAATAACTTAGCTCCTAACTATACTGGTGTGGTTCTATAACATTATCCTCATTAAGATGCCTTAAACATGGCATAGGAATGCCTAGGATGGAATGAGGATGCAAAAATGTACCTTAAAACACTTTTCAAAATTTGCTGAAACAGGGGTCCATGCTCGAGCGTGGCTTTCTACACTCGAGCGGACATGCAGATAATGAAGCTCCGCTCGAGCGTGACTTCCTTCGCTCGAGCGGGCTGCAAACTCATGAAAAGTACTGGTTGCACGATTTTCACGCTCGATGGACGCTCGACCTCCGCTCGAGCGTGAGACTCAGACCCTCGCTTGAGCGTGAATTCTCTCGCTCGAGCGGACTGCAAAACACATGAACTTTTGGGCATATGCATTTCACGCTTGAGCGTGACTTCCTACGCTCGAGCGGAAGTGCATGTACTCAGAGTGTACGCTCGAGTGTGAAGTCCTCCACTCGAGCGTGGATCCAAAATCTGGAATTTCCAGATTGATCCTCAAGCACAAAATTCAACTTCTAAAGCTTCAAACTCGATTATTTTTGGGCTAATTTTCTGGAAAACACTTGAAGACTCATAATACAACATGTTTCAAAGATCAATTTATAAAATCAAGCTTAAAAGTAAGCCAATTGAACATAAAATTAAGTGTAAATACGAAGAATAATGCAAAATCATACATGCATAAGTTTTTAAGAGCTCTAGTGTTCCAAAACAAGATCAAATGCAATGTTGAGCTCAAAATCACGGTGAATTCATGGACCTCTACCAAAATATGAACATGCATGTAAGAGTTTTCATGAAAACAACTTCAAAATGCAAGAATATGTATATGCATGCATGAATTTACTCTCAACTCAACACTTTAAACCAATTCTTGAATCTAAACACTAATTTACCATGAACCAAATGAGAAATAACTTAAATTCACAATGAAGAAGGCGAATTACCTACCTTAATCCTTGAATCTCAAGTGTACTAGCTCTATTTTGCAATCTTTCTACAATTCCTCTAATTTCAAGTCAAAATCTAGATGAACTCGAGTTTTTTTCCTACTCTCCCTCTCTCTCTCGATTTGGTCGGAGGAAAGGATGAGATGATGCACAAAATGATTTAAAAACAATTAGTGGACTAAATGCCCACTAGTGGCAAAAATGCAAATAGTTCAAGTTGATGTAATATAACAAAATAATTCTAATCTAATTATTCCAAATCAGATTTCAATTAAACTTATCATAAAATTTCATAAATTCTAATTAGCATAAAATACTAATCAATTTTTGATTCGGTCGCCGATAAGGCCTTCGATTCGCAGTCTTAAAACATGAACAGATCATTCGACAATCAAACAGATAGAAATGCATTTAAAACAATACACTTGTGCATTCGGTTCAGAATTTCAGTCTGATTAATTACTTATCATGCTAAAACACAAATTAGCACTAATCAGAGGTGAGGGTTGTCACACAAGTATTCTACAGAGCGACAAGCTTTCAAATGCTATGTTGAATGGATCATTTCTATAGCTATTCATTCTTCTGACAGTTTGAAGGATAATCCAAACAAGTTTTTTGTTTTTAATTTAAATAGCAACAACAATAGGGTCAAGAAAATATTATCTCAACTACAATGAAACATTGTCAAGTCCTAGGAAGGATCAATGGGTAGTATATCAGTGCATCAACATGATAAGGCAAATCATTTATCGAGTATTGGCCTAGAAAAGAAATGATGTATACATGAACATAGTTTGAGCAAGCTCCATCCAGTGTTTCCTTTCAGTGAAAACACCATTTTGTTTATTCTGTCATCCTATTGATAACTATATCATTATCTTCTGTTAGCTATTATTCCTGAAACAATTGCCAGACAAGCAACTATGGGCTCATTGGATCGTAGATAGCTAAAGCTAGTAACTTACGATCACAGCAATTCAATAACTTTAGGAGCCCTAAAATGAGCATAGCTATTACTAGTAGTTAGCTTTAGGAGCTTTTTTCAAGCTGTAGAATAGCAAAATAGCATTGCTTAGTAGCTGTACAACCAAGCAGGCAAAGCTATTCGATTTTCTTTAAGGCTCCTAAAGCTATGAACCTAAGCTCATAGTAAGAGCCGAAGCAAGCTAGTAGCCACTTGCTATGTTATTCGATGTTAAGGCCCCTAAAGCAAGCTATTGAATTGTTCCTAATCAAAGAAAGGAGAGATATAGACTATGTTCATCTCATAAAGGTGTTACTTTTCACTCCTAAATGAAAGCAAAACTAAATGACAAAAACATAACTCCTAGCAAGGAGATGACTCCCAGGAAGGGAACAAACAGCAAGTTTAGAGCAAAGTTGGTTATCCATGTGAGAAAAGAAAATTTAAACAACAAATTTTGTCGAAGTCAAGGTCTCGTTTCTTCCAGTATTCGTGACGTAATCCATACCTGTGGGAATAATCAATTCTTTTGTGAAAATAATTCAAAATGTATACCAATGGGAGTCTGTTGGGACACCATTAATGTTACATAAAATTTTGGTACAGGTAGGCTTAGAAGGAGAGACAAATGTCTTGTGATATTTATCAAAATGATCTGTTAAGGAAGGACATGAATATACATTCTATATTTGTTCCAGAAAAAGTTGGATTGGATACTTAACAATTTGATCGGAATTTGGAGAATACGGCTGAAATTTAAACTACTCTGGAGCTATCATATATTGACTTGTTATAAGACATGAGTATTGTCATAAATAAATAGATTATTTCTTTTTGTATACGTAGATATTCTTCTTGTAAAATTATTAATTTAAAGATGAAACATTTCTTAATTTTAGATGATTCAATGTTACAACAGAGCATTGTTTTCTTGATATTTGTGCTGATCGTTACAGGTACCATCTCGGGCACCTGCTTGCGTACTTAAGCCAGTTCCCAACATGTTTCCAACTTCTGATGGTGGAGCGAGTCTTCTTTGTTTCAAGAGAAAAGACCTAATCTGGGTACTAATAATTTTTCTTTGCATCATGAAGAGCATCACATTATAACTGAAAACTAATTTTTCATCATATTCTTACTGAAAAAGTAATATGTTCCTGATATAGTTTCATTGTTTAGTATTTGTACTGAATTACTGTGTAATGTCCATCAATTATTTTGTTTTCTCTGAGGTTTAACTTATATGATGGTTCATCCCGCAGATGTGCCCACAGGGGGCAGATGTGATTGAACTCTTTATCTATCTCGGGGAGCCTTGCCATGTTTGTCAGCTTCTTCTCACAATTTCACATGGTGCAGATGATTCAACTTTTCCTTCAACAGTCGATGTGCGAACAGGACGCTACTTAGATGGGCTTAAACTTGTTGTCGAGGTATGGCTAATGTCTTTTGTAAGTTGGGAATTCGGGTCCACACTTGCACTTCAGAATTATATTTCCTTTGTTAAAGAGGTGGTGGCCTTGCTTATTCAAGTCTTAAAAGGAAATTTACTTATATATATATATATATATGTATTTTAAAACTATAGTCTGTCTTATTTATCAAAAAAAAAAAAACTATAGTCTGTCTTTGTGCCCCAAGCCTGAGAATTTACATTTGAAAGCAGTTTGTAGGTAGGTCTTGGATTCTTAATTTTCTTTTCTTTGACAAGTCTTGGATTTCTAAATTTAAGTCTCAACAGATCACTTTCTCACTTAAAAAAAAAAAAAAAAAATAGAAGGTCAAAGTTCACTTCCCCTCATTGTGGTTTGAGGCTGGAGCACTTTACCCCCTTATGATTTAAGGATAGGCAGCCTCAAACCACCCAATTCTCTCTCTCTCTCTCTCTCTCTCTACAATCCACATGTATGTCAATGGTGACCTGTGCGAGGGGGCATGGTTTTATAAAAAAAAATTTTGAAACGAAACAATTTATTGAAATAAAAGGATATAATAAGGGGAGGACAATGAACAAGTGTGTAATAAATATATTTTTATAAATATAAATACGAGTTGAAGAAACTAGCAGTTTAACAATGAACGAGCACGTAATAACAAGAGATAATGAACATATGAACAACACAACACCGATGCTACCAATAGTTAACCAAATTTTCAACTCATTTAACTAACACACTGAGATTGCATATTCCTCACACCTTGCCCTTGGCATGGGTCGACTTTATGATTTGTTACTCTCCAGAGGGACATGTAATCTCCCTTGACCAAGTTTTTAGTCTTTCACCTTAAAGTATTGAACCCATGTTTCATTCCGTGCATCCCACTCACACTACACATAAGTTCCTGAAGCAGTGCCAAAATTTATCCACTTAATTCCTCCCCCAAGGAGTGTCAATGATTTGGTTTTCAATTCAATTCCTCCCCAAAGGAGTGTCAACACAATTACACATAATTCTCATAGTATCCTCAATTCTGGGTTTTGAACCTTTACAATCAAGTTCCCATTCTTGATTTTATCCCAACGCAGCAAAATTTCTCAAATTCCAAGCTTTACAAGTTTAGGATTTAGTTTTATTTTGTGTTTTTCAAGCCAATCATGCCATATATGAATTTGAAGCTCTGACGAGGGTTTCATGAAGGAATGACATCAATGTACCATGCTCATCTCAATTTTTATTGGATATTAAATCTAAGCACCACAGAGGATATGATATACATTTTTCAGACATCTACGCAAGAAACCAGAGATTTAGATGAAGAGAGTAGAAATTCCCTACCAAAAACCCAAATGAAGGAGATTTGAACTCTAGATGGTGTGAAATGAAGATCCAATGGGTGGAAAATGAAGGCCTTAACAACTCTACAACTCTTCTCTCGTGACCTTGGGTCAATCCATCCCTTTACTTGCTCAAAATCTAGAGAGGAAGTGCAAGGGTTTGGGAGAGTTTGAGAGAAGCTTTGATGACCGCTCTGGATCAAAACGAGATACTGTGAGGCTATTGACCATGGATGATGGGTCGGTCGACCTCCCGGTTGACCACTCTGGGTAAAAACTGAATCCTTATTCCCGTGCCTCATCCAACACAACCCAAAAGGCCTCCCAGTCTCTTAACTTAGTTAGGGACCAACTAAACTCACAACCAACCGATCAAGATGCTAAGATATGCCTTAAGAGACATTGAATTCAAAATAAGATAATGATCATTTAAATTATATAAATAGAATAATTTGGGTTGTTACAATGTACCTCATGGTGATCCCATTAATCTAGGTTGTCACTACGGTAGACTAGGCAATTACTGAATCTGTTTATTTATTTGCTTAATTATTCTTTGTAATTTACAAGACCAATTTAATTGGAGTTTCACCTTATTTTACTGCTTTTGGAGGTTCAAGATATTGGCCTATGCTTATGTATGCTGGCCAAAATCTCATATGCATTTCCCTGTTGTTTCTTTGTTTTGTTTTGTATTTTTTTAGCTTGTCATGCAGTAAGTTATATCTTTTCATGCCACGGAGTAATGTTGACACCCAATATGTTTATGAATGTTGATGGTGTTTTCTTTACTTCTCCACTTCTCTTTTTTCTCTTCCCATGGGTACTCTGCATGTGGTGAACCCTTAAGCTATCAATACAACCACAGGATTCCTACAGGAGGATGTCATTTACGTGGTGCTTCTATTAATAAAACATGACTTGCTGTTTCAGTATCATCATTTGTTCTTTGTTATTCGCATCAGTTTCTGTGTACCTGCTTGTTAGCCAATAGAAAACTATATGCATCTGTCTGTCTGTGTTATATGTGCGAATTACTGTATTAGTGTCTAACAAGTGTTGTTTTTGTTGACAGGGAATGTCTCTGTTTTTTTGTGTGATGTCTTCTAGTTTTTGATAAGAGTTGATTTCTGGTGACAGGGTGCTGCTATACCGCAGTGTGCTAATGGCACAAACATGTTGATACCTGTACCAGGACCAATTAGCGCAGAGGATATGGCTGTCACTGGAGCAGGTGCACGCCTCCATTTGCAGGACACATCTAGTCTTTCATTATTATATGATTATGAAGAACTGGAGGGAGAGTTGGACTTTCTTACTCGAGTTGTCGCGCTTACCTTTTATCCTGCCATATCGGGAACAACCCAGTTAACTCTTGGTGAGGTACAAAGAAATTTTTTAAGTGTGTCACATGATTCGTCTGTTCTTGTTTAATTTATCAGCCTATGGAGTCCCTCTTGCTCAATATGCGATGATTACTAGGTAATTTATAAGAGATGAAATGTTTGCTTTTGAGAGATTTACAATGCAACAGCAGGATTTGTTTGATATTCCTCACAAGGTGGAGTATTGGAAATTGAGAAAATCCAGTGCACCCATGAATATTCCATGAACAATATTTTTTGGCTGGATGAGTGCATGGGGGGGGGGGGGAGGGGGGGGGGGGGTTGGTGGCAAGCAGGGGAGCTTCTATTTACACAACAAACTTAATTCTTGACACCCACATTCTTATTACACCCACTTAATTTTAAAAAATGTCATTTTTTCTCTCTACACTCCATAATTTCAAACATTTCCCCATCCCTAAACATGCATCTCTTTTTTTTAGTTTTTTTATTTTTTACATTCTCTACCATAGATGAGGTTGATGGCTGGTGGAGGAAGGAGTTGTGAGGTGGGGCTGGGCTGGGCTGTGGTGGTAGTGTGGAAGATGACATTTTTTGGTATTTATTTTTTTTCTGTGTTTTACTTTTCTTACGCCAACCAAGGCCAAACAAACTTGATTCGTTCAGCTTTGGTCGGCCGAAGGCTAAAATTGGTGTAATTAGTCACATTCAGCCTTATTTGTCCGCCTTAATATGTTCGGCTACCAAAGGCCAAACAATCTTGGTTTGTTCGGCGAACTAGAGCCAAATGAAGATTCAGCTCCATTTTTTTCAAATGGCATGAAACCATATTAAAATTATAGAAAGTCACACCCAAAACTCTTAGACACCAAATGTTGTATACAATCTATTTACAATTATTATATATATGTTTTAACTATGTTTTTCTTTAAAAAATCTTTTATTTCTCGTTGTTTGTTACTTTTTTCCCCCTTATATTCATATGGTAGAGGTGTTGGGAGTTGCATAAGGGTGGAGAGAGTGAAAGAATGGGGAGAGGGTGGCGGTGGTTGGAGGAGAAAGGGTGGCGGCTAGGTAGCGGTGGGTGGTGGAGGGGAAGGGTGGTGGTGGGTGATGGGAGGGTAGGTGTGTAAAGCATTTTTTTGTATTGAAATTTTTTCATTCTTAAATTTAATTTTGCTAAAGGGTATAATTGTAATTAAAAAGCCACAATTTGGTAGCTGTAAGGAGTTAAAGAGTGTGGTATGAGGAGCCCCCCCCAATACTTCTTCAATTTATTCTGGCTCTGCCCCTATGGGGGGGGGGGTGTTTTTAAGCTGGGGGTGATTTGCGAAGCTTGAGATCTTTGTCAATGCAATAAAACTTAACAATTATTTCTATTTTTGATAAGTGTATTTCAGATCACCCTATAATTGGTTTGTTTTTGAAAGTGCTCTTCTAGTGTCTTTTTCATTTTCCTTTTTTTTTTATTATTATTATTATTTTTTTATCAGCAACAAACAAAGATTTTATTAAGGCAAAAAGCCAAAAGAAATGAGGATAATGCTCTATAAGGAAAAATACATATAAAAGACAAAATAGCCCAAAGAGTTGAAACTCAAAACAAAGAGGACACTACATATCACAAACTGACACCCAATCTGATGCAATAATAAAAAGAGGAATTCCTTTGAACAAAGGATTCACCGACACCCAAAAAGAAGCCAAGTGTAACTTTTTCCCATAAAAAAATCCACATCTCGAGATACTTCTTCAAAGACACCTATTTCTCTCCAACCAAACGACCCAAAAAATCGCAAAGATAGCACAAAGCCAAAGCACCTTGGCCCTCTTTGACCTACCCCATACTCGAAAATCAATTAAAAGCATTTGTGCAATATCTTTTGGAGCCACCTACATAACATTCCCCAAACAAAACAATCTTTGCCATAAGCTCGCTGCAACTGGACAATACAGAAATAAATGGTCCAAAGATTCTCCATTCCTCCGACACATTATGCACCATTGAGGACTAAGAGAACGGGAAGTCTCCTCTTTTGCAATGTATCATTTGTTAAAGTGCCTCCATGAACACAAGCCCTCCATAACTTCTTGTGAAAAGGAAACAGAGGTAAATGATGCTTATCAATGAGTTTGTCAAAAAAAGATTTACAAGAAAAGGACCCCGAAGAATGAATAGCCCAAACCCACTTGTCCTCCAAAATTGGAACCAAAGAGACATGTCCAAGCCTTGACAATAGATCCACCAATTCCCCAACTTCCCTATCATTAAGATTTCTAGGAAAATATGCCATAGATGCAATAGAGCAATTATGAGACTAAGACACTCTATACAAATGCGGGAAAGACACAACAAAGGAAGAAGAACCCACCCATACGTCCTCCCAGAATTTGGAAACTTCCCCATTACACACCCTCACAGAAATGAAATGAAGCCAAATTGGATAAATATGAGAGATTGATTTCCAAGGAGCACGACCATTACCCCTAGTGACCACCTGTGAGTCTCTACCATTAGCATGAATCCCATACTTGCTTCTAATAATCTTGTGCCATAATGAATCACACTCATTTGGAAATCTCCATAACCACTTGCCATAATGAAATTATTTTATGAAAGGAAAAAGTATGAAAGCCAGGTACATGTTGGGTATACACACTGGGTATACACAATATAAACCTTATATTATTGCTAATCTATTTTCAACCTTTCTGGTCTGCATCCTATTTATTTATGCACTACCATTTTTTATTTAGTTATGATCAGAATCACGACTTGTAGAGACCTTCTATTACGCATTTATGTTTATATGTATATATATTAATTACACTGATGTTTATATGCATTTTAAGGTTGTTTGGCCTAATTGCTGCTTGGCAATGACCTTGTAGTGAAATCTTTTACAGGTAGAGGTTCTTGGAGTCTCTCTTCCTTGGAAAGGCGTATTTACTCGTGAAGGTCCAGGAGCCAAGCTATTTGAACTTGCGGATAATTTTCAGAAGGAAATCAACCCTTTTCTGTCTGCTCTGGACACAAATCCATTTGGTGATGCTGCTTTATCCAATGAAAAAGTGCCACCACCTGTGCAACCAGATATATCTGCCAACTTATGGGTAGACCTTTTGACGGGAGACAACATGACTTCAGAATCCATTTCTCAACCTCAACTAGTGGAGAATTCTGTACACGAGGGGGGCGACTTTCTTGACTTCCTGGACAAAGCTGTAACTGAACACCCAAATGGTGAAACTAATTCTAAATTCACTTCATCACATGACACAAGATCTTCTGATAGTGGTGCTCAGCAGTATATAAATTGTTTCAAGCTCTTTGCAGGCTCCCATATGGTATATTAATATTTTGTTCTGGGCCATTATTTTACTGCTTGCTTACATTGCTATGATGTAAATTTTTGGATATTTTGTTCTGGGCCATTATTTTACTGCTTGCTTACATTGCTATGATGTAAATTTTTGGTAGTTCTTTGACAACATTTTCTCCAAGAACTACCTAGCCAAGAAACACAGACACTTTAATGAAGATGGTGTGTCAGTGTTACACGTGTCGGAAAACACCCAAACATGTCATATTATTTTTTAATTTATTTAGACTTGGAAATGCTATGGACACTGGGGGGACACAGATGTCCATTGCTTAGGCACTCATGAAAGACCTTACAATTTTGAACAAATTAACTTTTTTGTTTTTGGGTAATTGGAGCAAATTAACTTATCCAATGTTAAAACAAAAAATATAAATTTATATCTATTAATCTTTCATCATTTGAGGGACCTTGTTATGCATTTTCTTGATATATTTTATGTATTTTTGTGACAAATATTACATAATCTTCTAGTAGAGTTATGACAATTTGTAGTTTTGAAATGAAGTTACGTATTTTGTGGTAACGGTATGCATTTTTTGTGGTAATATTACATATTTTTTTATTGAAACATTTTTTAATCACAAAAATGTATAACATTACCACAAATTGTTGTAACTCTACCTAAAAATTACGTAGCATTTGCCACAAAAATGCATGACATGTACCAAGAAAATTGGTAATGGTATGCATTTTTTGTTGTAATGTTGCATATTTTTTTATTGAAACATTTTTGAATCACAAAAATGTATGACATTACCACAAATTGTCGTAATTCTACCAAAAAATTACATAGCATTTGCTACAAAAATGCATGACATGTACCAATAAAATGCGTAACAAATATGGTACACGCCGAAGGAGTTCCCATAATTTATATATAAAACTATATGTTGCACATGTTCCCCACTTGTGTCATGTCTTGCATTTTTTAAAATTATCGTATCAGCGTGTTTGTGTCATATCACATGTTTGAATCCGTGCTTCTTAGCTTCCTTGTGTTCCATTTATCCTAATCTTCAATTGTGCCTTGACATCTTGTGTTTTGCTTGTTCTGTTATTTGTTTGTTTCATGGATTCCATGACAATATCCATATCCATTGCATCACTATAATTGCTTAGCTGTGATGATTCTAAAATGACACCAATTTGTCACATTCAAGTTCTTCAATGTCCTTTTTATCTGTGAAAGTATCTAAACAAATGCTTCTTTGCCCCACCTTAGATGATAACAAAACTGATTGCTTTGGCATTTTCTGTTTATAATACCTGCTTGGCTTTTACAGCTGGGCAGGGGGCATACGTGTAAAAAGTAACTCTTAAAAACTACAAATCTATTGGAGCTTCTAAGTGCCCCCACATTTCCTCTTTGGACCGCCACCTTTTCTGGATTCCTATCTACAAATTTTAAAATTTGTATTATTTGAACACCCTACGTAATACCCGAAGTAAACCCCATCCCTAACCTTGAAACCCTAATCCCATACCCACCACCTCTTCACTTACTGCCATCTCCAGCCGCCACTGCCACCACCTCCAACCACCTTAACTTCCACCTTCCCTACCTTAAAAACCCTAGTCGCCACCTCCCCTGCCCTGAAAACCCTAGCCCCACATGCACAATGTTAGAAAGGAAAACGCATAGACACACATGCACACAACCAAAAGAAAGTTCCAGAAGCTTTATTTATTTTTTTGTTTATGAGACTTCATTGTTAGTTTTATCCATGATGCACCATCCTGTAGAGTGAGTCACATGGTTGGATCATGTGCCTAACCCCTAGCGGATCTCAGAGCAAGCAAATTTAAAACAGGGCTAGGGACCTTCTATTGGCTTTTCAATGTAAGCTGTGTGGGCAATCCCTTCTAAAACATTGGCATTGACTTAATTTTGCTCTCAAATGTCATATGTATGTGCATGCTTCAAAAATTTCTTATGACAGGCTGTGTGTCTCAAATATGTGCTTGCTACAAAGAAAATGGTGATGGATTATGTTCACACGATATGCTTCTTACATAATAATGTAAGATCACACCCATTGTTTATTAACTTTTCCCATCTTAATCATCAATTTTTCAGGAAAGGAATCTAGGTTTCAAACAAGCCATGAAACTTGAAATTGAAAGGCTTCGCTTAAATCTTTCAGCCGCTGAAAGGGATAGAGCTTTATTGTCAATTGGCATTGATCCTGCCACTATAAATCCAAATGTATTGCTTGATGAATCCTACATGCCAAGATTATGCAGGGTTACAAACACTCTTGCTTTGCTTGGGCAGGCTTCACTTGAAGACAAAATTACTGCTGCTATTAGTCTGGAGACTGTTGATGATAGTGCTATAGATTTCTGGAACATTGCTGGGATTGGGGAGAATTGTTCTGGTGGCACGTGTCAGGTTCGTGCTGAAACTGCGGCCACTGGTTATGCATCCTTTACTTCGTCTTCTCCAGCAGCTACCAAATCTGTTTTTTTGTGTTCTCAATGTGAGAGAAAGGTTTGCAAAATTTGTTCTGCTGGGAGAGGAGCTCTTCTGCTAGCAAGCTACAACTCGAGGGAGGTCTCGACCTATAATGCTGTATCTAGCCAGGGTGGATCAGGACATGGAAACCCAGCTGATGTGTCTTCAAGTCGTTTAATGACAATGGATGGGGTTATTTGTAAACAATGCTGCCATGATATTGTGCTTGATGCATTAACCTTGGACTATGTTAGGGTCTTGATAAGCATGCGCAGAAGTGCTCGTGCAGACAGTGTGGCACATAAAGCTTTGGGCCATGTAATTGGATTTTCTTCTAAAGGAAATCTATCTTCTGATAAGGAAACTTTTAAAGTCTTAGGACGATTACTTAATGGAGGAGAATCACTTGCTGAATTTCCCTCTGCCAGCTTTTTACACTCGGTATGTTCTTCCCTGTCTTGTATTGATTTTGGTGTATACACCCATCCATGGACATTGTTCTCTTATCCTTACGAATTCCTTTAATAAATTGGACATGCCACAAAGTTCTTTATATGTTTTCATTTATTTATTTATTTTTTATCACCATTCAATTTTTATTGATGTAGAGATCCATTGGTGATCTTTCTACACAGCTAGAGATCCATCATCTTTTCTTTCTACCAAGTGAGATTTTATTTGGTATCTTCTGTGACCATCATCTCTTCTTTTAACTAGCACAGGTGGGTCTATTCATTTTAGTCAAATTTTGGGGGCCCAAAGCGGCTCCTTGATTGCCTTTGCTCAGAGCCGGTTGTGTCTCCGAATAATCATTTTGACATTTCTTTTTCTGGTTCTTTTATACATTGAGAACTGTGGTTCATTGTCTTCTTATTCTTTTTCTGTTTTCCTTTTCTAGCTTGAAGGTTTCCTTTCCTTATTCTTGTTTAGGCAGGCCTAGCCCCCCACATGGTTGATTTTATCCATAGCCAGATAACAATTCCATGGGATTATGCTTTTGGAGCTCAGTTGAAACTAGTTGATTTATAATTTTATGCCTCTTATGACAAGACACCAACATTACAAAAGCCTGCATCAGACTGCACCTTGGGGCAGTTATCATGAACTTCATAAGAATCACACAAATTTTTGCCCCTTGAAGCTTTTAACAGTGAATTTTCTTTGAGCATGCCTCAAATATGCTTTTAGAACCATGGCAGTAATGGCATTAATGTTTGTTACGTAAGATGGTGATTTTACATAGGAACCTTTGTTAACTTCTTACCTATTAAATTACGTGATTATCATTCAAAATAACATTTTTGTTGATTTAAGTCTAAATATTTTATATTCATAAGATACATTTAACATCTAAATGTGTAGATATATGTTTTTAAGTGATTTAGAAAAAGTGACCGAATCTTTACGATTCACGATTCGATTTGATTCGATTCGCGATTCGGTACGAGACCATTTCGATTCAAGATACGAATCCCGATTTGACAACTATGGTGGTAGGTGATGGTAAATTTTAACAAATTTGTATGCCATGACTAATTCACTACCTTCTTTCAGCACCTAGATGTTTTACCTATTTTCTGATTTTTGACTTAGTTTTATAATTATTGTAGGTTGAAACGGCAGCAGGTTCAGCACCACCATTGTCATTGCTTGCACCACTTGATTCTGGATTACAGCATTCATATTGGAAAGCTCCTCCTAGTGCCTCCTGTGTTGAATTTGTTATCGTTCTTAGTGATCTTTCTGATGTGGCGGGGGTGGTCCTACTTGTTAGTCCCTGTGGCTATTCAATGTCTGACGCTCCTACAGTAAGTACACCTACCTTTACCTAGCTGCTTCTTGTTAAATTAAATATCAGTAGACACAGCCCTGTGTTTCAGTACATTTTTTTTTTTTATCAAGAATCCTAAACTGCAAGCCTGAAACTAATACCAATGTATTATCTTAACTATAAATGTTTTGTTGCATTTCAAATTCCTATTTTGTGGGAGTCATTTCTAAGAGAATGGCATGTTTAACGTATGTTGCAGATTAAATCTTTTGTAATTTTTACTAATTCTTGGTCAACAAGAAGTTCGGTTCAGAAACCAATTTATTTATACGAGGCAATTGTTAGACATTTATGCGAGAGATGGGTTTGGGAGGCTTGTACAACTGTTTAGTTTCTTTGTATCGTCCATGACCATAGGAAGGATTTTTTCACGATTTTAGTAATTGTTTTTGTGGATTTGAATAGGAGAAGAGTCACTTTGTACAGATAATGGTTAAAGCTTAGGTCTATACACCCAATCCACCTCTCCCAAACCCCCATTATTGGGGACTACATACATGCTTGTGTTTCTCTTCCATCCTTTTTCTTGGTTTAATTGCATTGACATATCACTCATTCTTATCTATGTTACATCCGAAATAAATTAAATACCCATGTCGGACACCTGACACTTGGACAAGGGTATGGGACATGTGTCGGATATTTTTCATCAAACACTTCTTATATGTTTGTATTTAGCACTATTATTACAAATACATATTGTTGTATAATTGCTGTAAATGTCTTTTTAATACTGAATGTTACATATAACACAATTTATCTCACATAACAGATTAAAAATATAAAAATATGACATTTTTTTGCCGAGCCCACGTGCCCTTCAATGTAAGGTTTGACAAGTCCAACCTCTAGATACACACTTGCACCCAACTCCCATACTCGAGTACATGTAACATATATTCTTATAGAGCTCAAACTACATTTTCAAATAATAAATTTTCCTAGTGATGTTTGCATTTACACTATTTATTTTTTTATTTTGCTCTCTTTAGGGCTATGTTTGGGCGGAAGGGAAAGGGAAATAAAATGAAGTGAAAGAAGCTACTTTTATCCTCTTTCTTTGGTTGGGTTAGGAAAATGAGAATAAAATGAATAGATATTTATTCAAAAAATTCATGAATATATAAATATATATATTAGTTAGCCATAAAAAAAAAATGAATATGTATTAGTGAATTCATTTGCCTTGAAAATTTTGAGATCCAAAAACATAGCATTAGTGTGACATTTCCTTATATTAATCACGTCGCTGACTCGAAACTAGTTTCTGCAGAGTGCAGTAAGTTCTGTTTTTAACCGTGTTTTGTTGACGAGTACCACTTTATTGTTTCTACAGGTGCAAATTTGGGCCAGCAATAAGATACAAAAGGAGGAAAGATCGTGCATGGGAAAATGGGATGTCCGCTCCCTAATCACATCTTCCTCGGAACTTTGTGGACCAGAGAATTTGGATGAAGGGGATACAGTTCCTAGGCATGTACATTTTGCCTTCAGGAATCCTGTTCGATGCCGCATAATTTGGATAACACTAAGTCTTCAGAGAGCTGGGTCAAGTTCTGTTAATTTTGGGAAGGACTTTAATCTTTTGTCTCTAGAAGAAAACCCTTTTTCACAACTCGAGCGACGAGCCTCTTTAGGAGGGCCAGTTGAAAGTGACCCATGTCTTCATGCCAAAAGAATTCTAGTAGTTGGAAGCCCAGTCAGAAAAGATATGGGGCTTACATCACCACAGGGCTCTGACCAGATAAATTTGAGAAACTGGTTGGACAAAGCTCCAGAATTAAATAGATTCAAGGTGCAACTAGTGCTTTTATCAATTTTCTGTTGTTATTAGCTCTGCTATTTAAACTTTGTCCTGTATGTCATTCCCTTTTAATTATCTTTTTCAGGTTCCAGTAGAGGCTGAGAGGTTAATGGACAATGATCTTGTTTTGGAACAGTATCTATCACCTGCTTCACCGTTGTTGGCAGGATTTCGTCTTGATGGTTTTAGTGCAATAAGGCCTCGAATTACCCATTCACCTTCTTCAGATGTAAATATATGGGATACGTCATTAACTTTTTTAGAAGATAGACATATATCTCCTGCTGTATTGTATATCCAAGTCTCTGCTTTCCAGGTACTCTCAACAGACTTTTATTATACTGCTATATCATTTACCTTGTGAAATACATAGATCTGTTATTTTGATCTGTTTCTCTTGATGCAGTTTTTGTTCTTCCCTGTAATAGTTAAGCATGTGACATAGTGGCAATCTTTGTAGTGATGTTCTAAATAGAATCCTAAAAACGGGATCTAATATTCCATTGCAAAAATAGCACAACCATTGCAACATCTGAAAGCCAACTTGAGTGCTTGTGTTAAAATGCGAGGATGGGTATAAGAATTTGTAATCCTGAATTTATAGTCAAAGCACATCAATCAGAGGGGAATTTTGAAGTAGAGCAAGACACTGTGAGAGATAAGGAAAAAAGAGAGAATGAGAGGAAAGCAGAAGAGGGGAGACGTAGACATCTCATGATATGTGTGTGTGTGTGTGTGTGTGTGTGTGAGAGAGAGAGAGAGAGAGAGAGAGAGAGAGAGAGAGAGAGTTACAAACTTGCAATATTTAATTATGTAGTGGCTTAGCTGCCCAAAGTACTGAAGGACTACCTAGTAGGATTTTCTGAAGGATATGCTTTTTTACCTAATATTTTGTTAAAATCCACCTACTCTCCACCTACTTCACCCACTTAAACCTACTCCACTAAACCTAACCCACTACACCACTACCACCTCCACTTCACCTACTCCTTACCTACTACACACTCACCCTCTTCTATATATAGGAATCATGAATCATTGTAATACAAAAATCAACTACAACATTATATCAATCAATAATACAATCATTTCTCTTTATACATTAAATTTCTACATATTTTAACATCTTTAATAGATTGAATATATAATTGACATTGTTTTTCCCTGGGGGTAATTGATGCTTATGTGAACATTGGTATACATGTTTTTACAACTCATGGAAAGAAGGATCATAAGAACTCATGTGTATCTGGTCTTTCTATGCTGATTTCTGTTTTCTTAATTGACTTTCAGACTTGAGTCAATCAATTTGAATCATAACTTGAAAATATATACAATTTAACAGGAACCTCGCAACATGGTTACCATGGCGGAGTATCGCTTGCCAGAGGTAAAGTCAGGGACACCAATGTATTTTGATTTTCCTAGACAAATTCAAACCTGCCGAATCTCATTCAGACTTCTAGGAGATGTCGCCGCATTCACAGATAATCCTGCAGAACAGGAAGATTCTGATTTTAGGCCACCAGTGGCTGCTGGGTTGTCTTTGTCAAATAGAGTCAAGTTGTATTATTATGCTGATCCTTACGAACTTGGAAAATGGGCCAGCCTTTCAGCTGTTTGATTGTTTCTTTTCGCACGAAGAATGAGGTTTGAGAGATTGGATGCAATTGGTTTTGTAGTTTTAGTCAAATTTTATATTCTTTGTTGTAATTTTAGACAGTCTGTAATTAGTATTAACTTGATTAAAATGTAATAATAGTGGTGATTGTGAAAAATCAATATAGGAAAGGTAAACTTCGCATTTCACACTGGTTTTTGATTTATTGGAGGAGGAACCAGTTTTGTTGGTGGTTTTGTCTTGAGTTTGTGCTACTTGTGTCTTGGTTTCTTTTGTGGAGTTGTACTTCTGTACTCTCTTTTCCCTTGAATGAAGTTATTTTTATTTACTACCTAAAGCCAAACTAGTAAATTTATGGACTTCTTTATTCTCAATATATGACACAGATGAATTCTCCTAACCAATGCAGGAAATTGGTCTCAAGATTTGCAAACTTGATTTTCCATATAAATTTATGGCAATTATTGATGGAGCTAAGATTTTAATACATGTAGCATTGCTCTTTCAATTCGGGAATTTTTTTTTTTTGGTAATGAATTTTTTTAATATTTTGATCATTTTTTAAAATTTAATTTAAATTTTTTAGATGTATCTATTCTTAATGTACTTAACAACACTTACGTATAAGATTAAAATTTGGTTATTATTTTTTAAAAACACTTTTTAGAAAATTTTACTTTCTTATTTTTTGTTTTTTTTATTTTTACTGATTTTTTTTAATATTTTAAGTAATTTTTTTAATTTTTAGACATAACTAACATAAATATACTTAAAAAGTAAAAAAAAAATTGAAAAAAATCTTTTAAAATTTCAGTAAATACCAAAAATACAAAAAAAAATATGAGAACTCAGTACATTTTTTGTATTTTTATGTATTTATTAATTTTTTTAAAATATTTTTTCACAAATTTTTTACTTTTTGAATACATCTAAGTAAGTGCATCTAAAAAAGTAAAAAAAATGTTTAAAATTTTAAAAATATTCACTTAAAACAAAAAAACACAAAAATTAAAAAATTCAATTTTTAAAAAACTTAATCCAAAAAACTCAAATTAAACACACTAATTGCAATTGAAACATGAGGACTAAAATGAATTTTGCATCAAAGTTCGAGGGTAAAATATGTAACTTGTCCAAATTAATTTTGAAAGCAACATATAAATTACTAAAATGAAAAACTCTTTCTTGTTCTCTACCAGATCAAAGAGTAAAAGGTTCATATTTTTTAGGCCCTTGCTTAATGTTTTTCAATCTCTTGTCATCGCAAGGCTACAACTTTTTTTTTTGTAGAAAGTTTTCTAGAAAGATCTCTTGCAAAACTCATAGTTACCATATTTCCAATATTTTTTAAAAATTAATGGCGCAAAGTGAAACTTTTACAAAGTAGTTTTGGATGTTGTCAAAACAATGCACAATACACCAATGCTAATGTACAACTAATAAGAGTCCCCAGTCTTGGCTAGAGTATGTCACAAGATTTTAACCTCACGAGGTCAACCGTTCCAAGTCCTCTCAAGAAAAAAATAAAACAATTACGAGATTGAAAGTTACAACAAAATTGAAGTGCAAAATTAAGAATGAGACTATACTCTTGGAACACGAAAACATAGCAAACATCTCATGTTATACAAAAAAAACAGAGACACAATACATTATCCTATCCTATCTTAGGTTCATAAATTCAATCCTGTTTACTCCCAACCTTACACCAATTCTCCAAGCAGTGAGGAAAAATATATAAAACACTTTCCAAAAAGGTAGATTTCTGTTGAGTGCAATATTCCCAGATAACAATTATTCAAGAAAACCAGGAGATCAAACAATTCAGTTTTCATTCCTTGGAAAGTTTGAGATATTATTCCTGATCGTCAGAACCCTCTTCCACGTATATGCAATTGCCGACTGGCTTCTTCCTCTAGTCTAGGTGAGGAAGACCAGAACAAATAGAACAATGAACAGAACAACCAAGAACAATATCATCATCAACTGTCCCTTAGCCCCAGCCTTCTTCATCACCATACCCACCTTTTTCTGCAGCAAAAATTTGTCATAAAAAACAGAAAACAAAAAATAAAAAACAAAAAAAATGGAACAGAAAGAAAACTGCATTCAATCCCTTTTTCTTTTCTTTTTTTGGGTAGGTAAGGTAAATCGAACTTGAGTCTCTTACAGGGGGAAAGCAACCTAAGCTGCTGGCATGTTTCCTAGGGGACTGCATTCCAGTATGTTATTATTGGATTACAATGAAACCATTTCATTGATTAGAAATACAAATTACATCTCAAGTAATTTTCAGCAGCCTCGGAACTTTTATTCACAGTTTGGACAAGATAAATTGAAGTTGTTAAGAAAAACAAGCTCAGCAGGCATGTATTTTCCTTCAAATCTGCAAGAAAGCAATTACCTGGACAAAATCAAGACGATTTGTTGTACTTTCCATGTCCATACCCAACTCATCTATAATCTTCTCCTGTGGCACCATAAAATACACATCCTATTGTTAATAATCATTGAGAATAATGTTAATAATTTTGACTTGGTTCATAAGCAATATAAGTACAGTTTGAGAAAGTGTGGCTCATGTGTGCTAGTGCTTAAGGATGAGACAAGTGGCAGCTAGGGCAGATTTTGCTAAAAACATTGCAAAGAATTGCAGCTTCAACAATGCCTACCTGTGCAAGGAGTTCTTCGTGTATAGTAAGTCCAACACCTCCAATTCTCTCCACACTTGCACTAAGCTCATCCAACTCCTCATCCTGTTGCCTGCAAGCACCAATCCAATTGACAGGCATCAAAATGAGAAAAATAGTATTTGGTTTCTAGAATAGCATGCACATGGGCCAGTGAACATCCTTCATTTTTAGGAAATAACCACAATGTCCTCAATGAACCAAGTTTGAAATGCTATAATAATATGTTTAATCTTCAATTTATATATATATATATAATAAAATAAAATTTATCAACTAATCATTGAGATTGGACAATATAATCATAACATTCATAAGAATAGAAATATTAATAACTACACTTAAAATACAGGTGTGGAAGCATTATTTTCTCAAGTACTAAGAATAAAGACAATAATAAGAGTACGATTGCTTTAGGGTTATCATCAGACAGTCCAAGGCATGCTACATTTCATATTTCTTAAAATACTTTTTTCTTTTCTTTTTTTAAGGGTAAAATGATGTTGACAAACTAAAATAGAGTGTTGTATGTGTTAAGTGGAAGTCTTATATTTATGTAGTAAAATCGACTACAAATACATATTTGATGAGTGCATGTCCAACTAGGCATATCGGGCACGTTCCTATACCCTTACTTTGCAAAGAATTGCAGCTTCAACAATGCCTACCTGTGCAAGGAGTTCTTCGTGTATAGTAAGTCCAACACCTCCAATTCTCTCCACACTTGCACTAAGCTCATCCAACTCCTCATCCTGTTGCCTGCAAGCACCAATACAATTGACGGGCATCAAAATGAGAAAAATAGTATTTGGTTTCTAGAATAGCATGCACATGGGCCAGTGAACATCCTTCATTTTCATGAAATAACCACAATGTCCTCAATGAACCAACTTTGAAATGCTATTAATAATATGTTTAATCTTAAATTTATATATATATATATATAATAAAATAAAATCTATCAACTAATCATTGAGATTGGACAATATAATCATAACACTCATAAGAATAGAAATATTAATAACTACACTTAAAATACAGGTGTGGAAGCATTATTTTCTCAAGTACTAAGAATAAAGACAATAATAAGAGTACGATTGCTTTAGGGTTATCATCAGACAGTCCAAGGCATGCTACATTTCATATTTCTTAAAATACTTTTTTCTTTTCTTTTTTTAAGGGTAAAATGACGTTGACAAACTAAAATAGAGCATTGTATGTGTTAAATGGAAGTCTTATATTTATATAGTAAACTCGACTACAAATACATATTTGACGAGTGCATGTCCAACTAGGCATATCGGGCACGTGTCCTATACCCTTACTCAAGTGTCAAGTTTCCAACACGGTACTTTGCCAATTTAGACAAGTCCATGTAACTTATCTGAGATGACCACTACTAGCAACTGCCAAGGAGGTTTCTGTAATTTGCCCAAATAAGAGTACAAAAATCATATAATCTACAAATTAGTTCTGTTTAATTCCCAGAAGGACAGCAAAAATAATTTCTTAAGCTGTGCAATACATACTTGGAGAAGTGACAGAAAGCATAAGTGGATATGGATTCAAATGTTGTAAATGACATAAAAGGGGGGAGAGAGAGAGAGAAGAAGGAAGTTACTTTATGAGAAGCAGTTGTCTGTCTGATTCTGATGATATGAAATCATCATTGTCCTGAGCAGCATACTGATTGGATCTGTCAGTCTGATGAGAATTTGGCATCCTCATTAGTTCACGGCGCATCCCATTTACGTTAGAAGTGCTTATATCATCCAACTCGTTTCCAGCTACTACTTTTTTCTTCATGTTGCCCACCTAATAACATAATTCTATATTTAGGGGATCTGAAACTAATTCAACAACACACAAACGCTGAGTATGACATGATATCAACAATACCTGAGTACGAGCAGTGCTTGTCCATCTCCTTCTTTTGTCAAGTTCAGCTTCATCTATCCCATACCAAGAAGGATCTCTAGCAGCTACAGAAATTGCTTTGTCCAATTCATCCACCTTCCTATCAGAAAAGCAGGTTTTCAGCAATTGCAAATAGGAGTTGCCTTGCTTGATAAAAGCCAAAATCACCAGAACTGCTTTTGCCAATCAAGGTTTTTAATGCACACATAGGAAGGTGAGAAGAAAAGTATCTGTATCCATATAATATACAACCATCGAAAGCAATGGGGATGCTGATTTTTTGACATTCAGTCACAATGTGTAGGCATACTATGGAACTTTGTGAGACAAAAGATATCGAAAAATCAATTTAGGAAAATTATTTAAGATTTAGAAGCATACCTGCCACTCAATGCTCTCACAACCAACAAGCAACTCCTTTGTGAGCTTTTGTTGCTCCTGACTATCCGCAGGGATGCGTTCCCATTTGTGAAAATTAGACAGCAACTTATCTATCTGAGGAGAAGATAATCAAAGCATAAGATATAGATGATACATCCTTAAGAAGCAGAAAGCAAGAAACAAAATGCAATCACAAATATAGTTTATTATTATTCCCGAGATCTCTGTTGTGGTTGAGCATGTGGAACTGTATGTGTGTGTGGGTGTGGCTCTACAATTGCATCTGGGTGAGAGAAAGAGACAGACAAACATGGTTCTCACCAATCTACCACATAATTTGGTAGAGAGAGGTTGAGAGACAGAGAGAGAACCTTTATGCAGCCAGAGTTACAGGTGGACAAGCCTTATCTAAATTTATTTTTTTGATAAATAAATAAAATATTAGGGTAAATTACACTTACCTCCCCTGAGGTTTACCTTAATCATAGATACCTCCCTTGTAGTTTCAAAAATTACACAGACCTCCCTTACTTTTGAAAATAATAGCCAGATTTCCTTTTTTGTTAACTTTGTTCCAAACAGTGTCAAAATAACATTAACTCATTTGGCAAGTTAACATTTTAGCCAAAAAACCAAAAAGTTACTAAAAAAATCAAAAAGTCTATAACCTATACAAAAAAGTCAAAAATTCCATTCTCTCTACTTTTTGCATATCTTTTCGTAAAAAGTCAAAAAGTCACCCCAAACATACTAGTTTTTTTTACCTCATATTTTAGCCAAAAAGCCAAAAAGTTACTAAAATAGTATGTTCCCAAACGAGGCCTAAATGACTAAAATAGCCTCATTCCATCTTTCTCTCTCTATTAACCCAACTACTCCAACATTGCTGCATCTAACCCACCAAATCCTACAGAAAGATAAATTAGTGACCTACTAGCTATTGTCAGTTTCTATCTCCAAGTGAGTGTACATTTAAATTTAAGGAATTATTACACATTCATAAAAAAATTTATGTTTTAATTATTAATATTATAAAATTTTCCATTTTTTTATAATTATTTTTCAAAATCATTCCTAAAATAAATTTTTCCCTAAATTTAAAGTTAGCACAACTAAACTTTTATATCCCACCGTGCAAGGCTATTGAAAAAAAAGAAAAAACAATCTCACGGGATTTAGAAATATAGTCAGTATTTATTGATTTTTTAAAATATTTTTTTATAAATATTTTACTTTTTAGAAACATCTAAGTAAGTTGTGTCTAAAAAAGTAAAAAAAAAAAAAAAAAAAATTGTTTAAAATTTTAAAAATATTCATTAAAAACAAAAAATATGAAAAATAAAAAACTTAATTTCCAGAAAATTGAATATAAAAAATTAAAACCAAACATATTAGATTTTTTTATTTCTATTTCTCTTTTTTGTTTCCTATTTTAATTCTTATTTTTATTTCTCTTTTTGGTTTTTATTTTTTTATTATTTAAAGGTCAAAGTATTATATTATCATAACCAACCTTTCCAGTTCAAAGCAATTCAAAACATATATACACTATATAGGAAAAGTGAATCATAACACTTTTTGTTTGGTTTAATTGTCATAATCAATTTTTTTAAAAAAAATAAAAATTAATTTGGTGTAAAAAATTAAAATTAAAAAAAAAATGTTCATCATTTTCACATGATTTTTTTCTTTTTTGGGTGCAAAATTAATTTTTAAATAACCAACATTCCTGGTACAAGGCAATTCAAAACATATACATATATAAAAAATTAACTTGGTGTAAAAAAATACTCATCATTGTCATATTGTTTGGAGGGAAAGTTTATAGATACTGAAAAATTAGAGGGAAATGATTATAAGGTTGTGTATTGTTTTATAAGAGGTGGGAAAGGTATTTTGGGCATTTCTGTATTTATTGTTGCTGATGTCACTCTTTTTGGTTACTTTTGTAACGTGCTTCTAACAGAAGGGGAAATCTGGCTATTATTTTCAAAAGTAAAGGAGGTCTGTGTAATTTTTGAAACCATAGGGGAGGTATCTGTAATTAAGGTAAACCTTAAGGGAGGTAAGTGTAATTTACCCAAAATATTATTAAAAAAAGGCACCAAACGTATACAAAAAAAGAAGACGGATGTCAACTATATATCAAAAACCCATTAGAAGGTTCTACAAAATCCAAAAAAAATGGTCTAACTTCCAAGGACGGGTTAATCGCCCCTGAGGACCATCTACACAAGAAAGACAAGCTTTTAATTTTGACAATAGGTCTCTCAGTCGTCACCCCCATCAAAATATCTTCTACTACACTTCGTAGTTGTTAAATTAGGATATGAACCGTGTATCATTTTTCTCCATTGTGATTATATCATATCATGTACCATAAGATTTTTTAACATCTTAAAAAGAAGGTAGTAAAATATATATAGCTATAGAAAGAAAGAAAAAAATCTTATAAGAATAAAACACTAAACAATATATAATCCTTAAAATTGCAAAAGAAAGGTTCCTCAAAATAAAGATATGCACGTACTAATGCTTAATGCATATAAATCTCATAGCGGAGTTAAAATATATATAACAAAAGATATAGCACTCAGTACATTATTATATCTAACCAAACCTTAATTCCCATCAAATGGGGTCAATACATTATTATATCATCGAATTAAATTTATCTTCAAAATTTTTCTCATTATATAATTTAGTATATTATTAGTAATTGTGTAATATCTTTTTCATAGTCCTAACACACCATTTGGGTGTTAATATTTAACTTACAAGTTCTCAAATAGCATGCTATAGTATAAATTTTAATCTTTAACAGGTGTAAGCATGCATAAATCAATAGCACAAGATACTAAATAGCAGACAAGTAGATATTTGCCAAAAAGATAGACAAAAATAAAAGTGAGCGTCCTTCTCATCTCAATAAATAAATAAATAAATAAATTAAATTAATAAGTTCATGAAAGTTTCTAACAATATCAAATTATCAATATACATAAAATAAATTCAATCATTTTTTTTCAAAATTTAACTATTCATGTATTGTATGTAGTGTATCGTATATGTATATGTATAGTAACATACATTTAACATAAGTTATATATATTGATAATACGTATCAATGTACCTCTAAAAATATTGAATCGTAAGATACGTATCATGAATCGTAAGAACTAACAACACCGGCGCTCACCCCAAAGAAGCCACATCGAACCTTCCTCCTTCGCTTACCCACCCAGCCTTTGCTCCAAGAACAAAGATCTCTCTTTTTAAGAAAACACTTAAACAACCCCAAACAAAGAGAGAGCCAACAACCATAATTCTGAAGCTGCCTCACAATGAAGAAGCAAGTGATTATGGAGGACAATTATTTACTCTTCACCAATTCTTTTAGGAAATATTATTTAATGCAAAAACTGTTATCATGGGCAGTACTAACCTGTTATTCTAGTTAATCATGCAAACACCTGTTAAAATTTTTGTTTTAATTTTTTATTTTTTCAAATAGCAGATTGCACAAACATCAATCACCCAACACAAAAGAACATAAATAATTAATTGTTTTTAGTAAGGGCATTATTTACTCTCAAATGTCTTCTCAAATAAGCACAGAATGCTAGCGGTATGTTCAAAAAACAAAATGGGTAATTAGTGGGTTCTAAACTAGGAAGAACATGACATGGATACGACACAATAAGGACACGCTGAATGAAAATTTAAAAAAAGAAAAAGAAAAAAGACACGACACAGCAAGGACACGATAACAAATAGATATACATTTTTGTATGTGTACATGAAAATAATAACTATTTCAAATACATTTATATTTTATTATATCAAAATAATAAGAAAATGTTTTCCACATTCTACATATTGGAAAAGAAGTGTGAACAAATACTCCTAATATTTTTTTGAGAAAGCCCCATTCATAAACAAATCAGACATTTTTGGCTTTAAAGTTCTTAAAATAAAGTGTCTAAAGGAAGAGAGATTAATAGGACAGGACAGGACAGGAGTATAAATCCACATTGTTTTTACGTCATTAAATCCAGAGTAACATTCTTTTAAGTTGCAATGTGTTTCATTCATGTCTAAGCGAATGAACACTTATGCACCCAAGTGGTCAAACCACATCCGGTTCTAACTTTTTTTTATAAAAACAATAGGATATGTTTGGGTGCATGTCCGACACATATCGGGGAGAGTCTAATATATGTCAGTGTCCAACATAACCATAACATATTAACATATTCTTAAAGTATTTGTGCTTTGCTATACAAGCAGAACTCATACATGTGCAAGGCCTATAAGCATCCAAGTGAACCACCATTTTCCATTGTCATTGTCATCCCATTATCCAGATGTGATAAGCTAAAATAATAGTCGTTACATATAATATTAGAAGAGAACCCACACATTACCATCCTTACCAATGAATACAAACGCTAGACACTTGATTAGAACCAAAGGATTGAGGGATCTATGTAAACAGGAACAGAAGAACAGTAATACTGGAAAAACATGAGTTTGGTCTCAGTACCAGTATTCAATAAAATGCTAATAACACATTAAATTCAAGAATTAATAGTGTCTTACCATGAGCCCACAATTCGTATTGTTATATGAATCTATTAAATTATTTGATCAAAAAATATCAGTTGCTTCATTCCAAAAGTTTTTGCATAACTACAAACATTTTGGCAATCAAAAAACTTACAGAATCTTGAATCTCTTCCTTAACGATGTAAAATGGATCCTGAGCTGAAGACATCTTGGCATCCAATTACATAATAATTACCTTTAACCATAAAAAAAAATTAAATTTGGTTAGCAAAAAGGCTTGCAGATAATAAACAATCATGCATATCTGTACACTCATGCATGTGTATGTACAGTATTGAAATTAACTACATTTCAACCTTTAGCCAACAGAACAAATTGCACTAAAATTAAGTACAATTAAAACCTTGGCAAGATGAAACAAAATTATAGATAGTTGCAGGAATGAAAGGTAAGAAGATTCACTGCCTTGGGGTTTATATATATATAAAGATATTCTTTGAATGTTATATACCAGAAACTCAGATCTTTTTTTGTATAAGCTTCCCAATCAACATGATATGAAAGGGAAAGGAAAGCAAACCCACAAGTACCAAAATACATGGACAAATCTTGATAAAGGGTATGAGTCCGGATCCTCTAGAGTGATTTTTTCTGTGGCTGATTTATTTATTTATTTTTTTTTTTATTTTTTTTTTTTCTAAGTGACTGTATGAGTCCGGATCCTCTAGAGTTTTTTTTTCCATGGCTGATTTTTTTTTTTTTTCCTTTTTTCTAAGTGACTATCACTGCCCTCAACTTTTGTAGAATTAAATTTCGGCCATAAAAAAAATAATCTTACAATCACTCTAGGAAAAATCACTATAAAGGATCCAGACTCATAAGTTATTGCAGTTGACATCACATAGTCAGTACAAAATTAGTTTCTTTATTTGTCATTTTTTGTTTCCTGGGAAGGGATTATCCATGACCACTTAATACATGAAAAATAATACATATACAACACCACCACTAATAATGACCACTTTATTTAAGCAGTATATACGGATCCATTTAAATTACAACTGTTTATCAAATCTTTGTTTTAAAAAATTTCCAAATTGACTTTACGTCACTCATCCATATTTAACATTTGGTAGACTTCACCCTATCTTGTTTCTCTTTCTTCAAGGAACAAGATCACTACAGACCATCACCAATTAGTCACACGCCACAATAAACTCCGAGTCAACCGTGCATACAACTTTGAGCATCCCATAGAAACAAAAAATAAAGCAAAAAAAAAAAAAGAAGGAAAAATACCAACCTTGAGGTTTGGAAAATCATGCAATTCGCCCAATTCTTCTATTTTCGAAGATAAAAGGTAACTACATGATAAATGTACAAATTTACCTAGATCTACAAACGCTCAAGTCGAAAGCTACCATCACTACAAAAGTGAAGAAGCTATTAGTAGTCAACGAAAGACAAAAATAACATTGTGTTTTCATTCTGTTACCAACAGAACTTCTGAATCACAGACTTCCAGTGATCCAGCTTTCGATTAAAAACCCCATAAAGAAACTACACCAATCACAACTCTCTGCTGAGTTCATTCAAGTCTTTCGTTTCTCCGATACCATTAAACAAGAGAGAGATCCAAAATCTCATCTTCTTTCCTTCTATTTTCCTTAAATTTTCTCAGCAACCAAACATAGAGCTGAATTGAAAGCATAATCGATGTTCGAGTTTTTCGTTTCTCCGATACCATTAAACAAGAGAAAGATCCAAAATCTCATCTTCTTTCCTTCTATTTCCCTTAAATTTTCTCAGCAACCAAACATAGAGCTGAATTGAAAGCATAATCGATGTTCATAATCATATATAATCAGATCAAAGTAAATTCAAGAAAAGATGCACACACACATAGATCACAGAGATACATAGGTACGTATATATAACACTTAGATTCAAAACTGAAACACAAACCTCAAAAAACAAGAGATCGATCAATGCGTAGACTGTCCCGATCAGTGAGAACACCACAGCTGGAATGGAAAATTGTGTAGCGTAAGTGTAGAATGCTCTCGGTTTGGATTTGATCTCATCGAACTCCTTTAAAATTCTTGACAATTACAGTGTCGTCCGTATGTTTTCTGAAATTTTGCTGTGGTCCTTATGTTTTCACATTATACAAATTTCCCCAACCGTTACTTGCCATGTTTGCAAATATCATCTAACAATATGGGACTTTGGGTATGGCCTAACGTTATGTTTGGGTTGAGTGATTTGGAGAGAAAAGAAATGAAATTAAGAGATATGTATTTTTTTTACTTGTTTAGATAACTTAAGTGAAGAAAAATGGAAAGAAATAGAGAAAAATTGAGAGAAACTCATTTATCTTATAAGCCTCATTTTCAATCTTTTCAAAAGTGTAGAGATTGAGAGAGAAAGTAAATCACTATTTTCATAATACCAATTTTGTATCTATAAAAATAAAAGAAATAAAATGATTGAAAATATAAAAAGGTTATTTTGGTAATATAACATAAAATAATTTCTTTTATTTTCTCTTAATGAAATCTAACCAAATAAGAATAAGAGAAATCACAATCATTTTTTTTTCTTTTATTTCTTCCTTATCCAAACAAAAAGGAGAGAAATCACAATCATTTCTTTTCTTTTCTTTTCTCTTATAACTTAAGTAATCATTTCTTTTTTTTTCTCCCCTTGGTTCCCAAACATAATGTAATAGTCTTGTAGTCACATCTTAGAGTAAGGGGAAAAGTAGGTGAGTGGTTCAACATGATACAGCAGTGGTGACTCATTTAGTTATAATATAACTTTACTAAGAGCATTCGCATCAGTCTCATGGCTAAATATAACTAGTAAACTATAGAAACGTTGCTCTATCAAACTTAACAAACTAATTCTATGGCTAGTTATTATTTATATTTGCTATAGTAACTCAACAACTTTGTTTAGCCATTATTTATTGGCTATTCTAATTTTTATTATATTTTCTTGAGCAAAACTGGGCCAAAATCTTTAAACCGGTCGTCTACCAGGATGTCCTCCCAGATATCCTCCCGGATGTCCTATGAGTGCCTGTAGCAAAAGAAAGAAAATGCCCCAAATTAGCCTGACCAGTCAACCGCCTGGTTGTCCGCCCAGTCGACCTCCTTGTGATTGTGTTGCTGCTATTTGCTTGTTGTTTGCTACTGTTCCGGAACTAAAATCCATCATATATTTAAATTGAAAAAAAATAATATTTCAATGAAATAGAATTTTAAAATAGAGAGTTTGATGGAATGTGTACACAAAAAATAGGCTAGCTAAAATACAAAAGTGGATTTTAGGTTATAATTTGGCTCAAAATTTGCTGAGGCTGATGCGAATGCTCTAACAAATTAACATCCTACAATCTTGACAAACAAAAAAAATAAAATAAAATATGTAGTACATGTGAGATAAAATTGTAAGAATAAATTTCACTTTGCACTCTTATATTTGGGCAAACTTCACTTTATCCTTTTGTGGATTGGATCATATGTAATTTACCCTTATATGTTTCAAAATGACCACATAACCCTCACGTGGTTAGTGAACTAAAACGCATACTAACTTTTGTTAATAAAATTTGTGTATTAATATTTATACCATCTTATTTTTCCTTTTTACCCTCGTCTTTATCACCAGTCATTCATCTTCTCTCCCATTAACTAGCAACCTATTTTTCTTCCTTCCTAGACCCTCGTGGTCATTCATCTCCTAACCCTAATCATTATCGTCATTTCATTTCCAATCCCCAACCATCACTGCAGCCTCATTTCCCACTCCAACTGTCGCTGTTGTCTCCTCTTCCATTCCCAACCATCACTGTCACCGCATCTTCCATTCCTAACCATCGCCGCTGACTCCTTTCCTATCCTTGAATTTGTTATATTAAACCTATATATACATACATACACAAAACAATGGCAAGCAATTATAGTCCTTTCTAATTCATAAAATATATATAATAATTGTTTATGACGATGGGTTTGATTTCTTTGTTCAATTTTTCTTTATGATTTGTGAGTTTTATTACATTATTCTTAATCCCAATTGTTTGTATCTCAAGTGTTTTTCATTAGCCATTGTTGCAAGTTCGATTAAAAGAGAGAAGAAGAAGATTTAAAAGAATAAAAGAAAGGTGTAGATAGAGAAACAATAGAAAAATACGGGAAATGTCATTCTATGTAATTTCAAAGATATAGAGAGGATATTTTCGTATTTAAAATTGACCTACACTCTCTAGGGACGTGTGGCTCTCCCATTCTATCATCTTTAACGGAAAAAATTGACGGTGCATTTTAGTTTATAAACCATGTGTAGGTTATATGATAATTTCCAAACGTTAGAGGTGAACCGCACATGGCCCAAATTAGAGAAGGGTAAAGTGAAGTTTACCCCTTATATTTTATATTAAACCTTATTTTGTTTTTTTGGCTTTTTAATTGTTCTAGTTAATCAATAAATTATTCAATTTTAAAGCAATGCTCCATTCTATTTATAAATTAACATTTAACAATTTGTCTCATACAATTATAGCACAAAAAATAGTTAGATCAATAACTACTCATTTTGAGCACCACCTAGATTTATTGAATAATTAATCCAGCTAATCCCTATATTTTGAGTCAAGTTGTAATTAACTTCATTTTTATAATATTATTTTTTAAATTAAAATAGTTACATGATAATTGTGGGTGTTGATTTCCGACTACACAACCAAAAATAGGGAACTCAGTTGGAGGACACTGGCGGAATAGATTAAGCCCAACAACTTGCACAAGAAGATGAGAATCTGGCGGTGGTTCGTTCACCTAGGGGCACTCCGACGATCAAGTCAGTAATCAATATTTCTCCCAGATAACAAATTGTGCTTAAACTCACAAATCACTACTCACAGTATATTACACATACCTAAGACCCACGAGGGTGCCCTACTTTTATCGCTAGCACTGACCTGATCCTTTTAGAAGCCTAGCTTCAGTGGACTCAGGCTCAATGCTCATCCAGGTCCTTCAGCTAGATAGAGATAAACTCTTCTTGAGCCTTATCTTTATTTAGACTGAGATCCTTCCATGTTCTAGGACTCTTGTCCCTTATCTGCTTATCTCGGATTCCAGTATCTCCACAGATAACCTTGGCCTAGCGAAGATAATCTCGGCAACGTGACTAGGCCACGTGCCACCTCGGCTGATACTTCGGCATCGCCTTAGCCACGTGCTGTCATTTACAAAATACTTCCTTACAACTGCCACTAGGTTCTATTACCTCGACAACCTGAGGTGATGGAACCTATATCACTTGTCCAACCAACACGTTGGCTCAAAACTCAGATATTACTCCAATCGAGATCATGACTCGTCGGCTTCAACTAACTAAGATTTAGTTACTCACTTTACTAAGAATCAAGAACCAAGAATCCAGTTCTTTAAGTATCTCAACCGATATGGCTCCTCTAGCTGAGGTTATGACCTCATTATTTCAAGAATTTCAAGAGTTCTAACTGCGCATAAGTTGTCATACACAGTCTTTCCAACCGTTTCCTCTACGTGTCCCTCAGCTATTGGCTCGTACCTAACACGTGCCATCAAGTTACGTCGATTCTGCATACGCCGCCTAACAAGCACGTCGTCCAAGGCTAATCCATTACGATTTGTCGTCTTTTCGTATTTTTAACAAACTTCTCCCTCTCTCTCTTTCTTTGCCTTTTCACTTCTCATTTATTGCATTCTCTCTATGTTCAGACTTTCTCTTTCTAAATTTTCTCTCACTTCATCATTTCCAATTTTCTCTAAACTCTGCAACCGTGCTCCGTTCCCTTTGGCGAGCTCTTCATTGTCTGGTCACAGTCGTCATCATCATCCAACTCCGGCGAACCTCATACTAGTGTTCGCGTTCTTAGCCCTATTCAGTAAGTTTTTGACTTCTTTCTTTTTAATTTCAGCCTTCCATTGTTCTGAATATGTTCTTTATTTGCCATATGTCTATTCTGTTGCCATTGAATCCGTTTTCATAGTTGTACTCTATTTTTTCTTCTATTATGAATCAATTTCTTGTTCTTGAATCTGCTTTGTGCATCATAATTTGTCCCTGAGTTCTAGAATATTTGTATTGCTTATGGTTCTTGCACACCGCCTTGCACACATTCACTCAGTGCTCACGAATTTTGTGTGTTCGTGTGGGTATATCTGTTTTTTTGTTCTTTGTCTTATTTTTGATTTCTAAATTATATTTCTTTTCTGGTCTTCTTGCTTCATTTCCAGATCCTTGCATTTGATTCTTGTTTCTGCATAAACCTAGGTTTGGGATTTGATTTAGAACCCTGCTCTTTAGGAAAACTAAAAGAAAATTCTCCTCTTAATCTTCAGAAACCCTCAACCTAGTGCTCTCTAGGTTTTAGCCGAAGTCTTCAAACTTATATCAACCACTCTCTTCTGAAAGCTAGTACCAATTACATCAAGCCGACATCATGGACATGTTTAGGTGGAGGGTAGACACCCCGACTAAATTAGAATACTTTAGGCAAGAGTTCTCCATTCCAGCCAACGTTCAGCTCAGGTTGGCTGGAGAGGAGGACTCTATCATGCTTGGAAAGGATTACATACCCTTTCCAGTAGTTTCCGTTATTGAGGGTGGAGTCCGGTTTCCCCTTAACATCCTCTTTAGGGAAGTCCTCCATTGCTAGAATAACTCTATTCAATATCCAATACTGCTACACTATGTGTGGCCTCAAGACCAACACGGGTGACACGTACTACCTAAAGCCAAGATCTACATAGTACAAGTTGATAGCAAACATTCCAGACTCCAATAAAAACGCCGCAGATGACTACCTAATTGCTCGAGCAATTGGGAATTTGCGCCAGATGATAAGCTCCATATTTTCCTACTATGCTGTGAAATGTTTAGGGATGACAAAAGTAAGGACTTAGTCTCTCCCCAAAGTCCCTTCCCTAGTGTCTCTTCTAACAATCCTTCTGTTTGTCTATTCTAATGTTCTCCTTTTGTCTTTGCAGCTCTTCCTCAGCCAGAGAAAAACTTTCGCCAATCCTACGTGTCGAGCAAAGACTTGACTCAACTTCTTAGTCTACCAATTAAACTCCGCAAGGCTCCAATCCTCCTCAACTACATCCCAGTGTACTGAAGCCCCCTGCCTGACATTCTTC